TGGTATGTACTCTTAACAGAGCATAATTGAAAGTGCGTCATTGGAATGACACAGTTTACCACGCACGGCAGAAGTTTTCTACGAATTAAGGCACGGAATATACCCTTACAGCCCCAACTTTAAAGTGCGTCAAACGAATGACACAGTTTCACCACAGTAAGGCTTCCCGTCAAAAGTTGGCGTGGCATACACTCTTAACTTGAAAGTGCGTCATTGGAATGACACAGTTTACCACGGCAGAAGTTTTCTATGAAATTAGGCACGGAATATACCCTTAACAGCCCCAAATTTAAAGTGCGTCAAACGAATGACACAGTTTCACCACAGTAAGACTTCCCGTCAAATGTTGGCGTGGTATGTACTCTTAACAGAGCATACTTGAAAGTGCGTCATTGGTATGACACAGTTTACCACGGCAGAAGTTTTCTATGAAATTAGGCACGGAATATACCCTTAACAGCCCCAAATTTAAAGTGCGTCAAACGAATGACACTGTTTCACACAGTAAGGCTTCCCGTCAATCGTTGGCGTTGTTTGTACTCTTAACAGAGCGTACTTGAAAGTGCGTCATTGGTATGACACAGTTTACCACGGCAGAAGTTTTCTATGAAATTAGGCACGGAATATACCCTTTACAGCCCAAACTGTAAAGTGCGTCAAACGAATGACACAGTTTCACCACAATAAGGCACGGCGGTCTTGTTTTGTGGTCTTAGGAATCATATTTGAGTCACGTTGGTTTATAAGTTTATATAGTCAGGGTTCCTTGTACATGCTCTGTTAAGAGTGTATAGCACGCCAACTTTTGACGGGAAGCCTTACTGTGGTGAAACAGTGTCATTCGTTTGACGCACTTCAAAGTTGGGGCTGTTAAGGGTATATTCCGTGCCAAAATTCGTAGAATAATTTATTCCGTGGTAAACTGTGTAATTCTAATGACGCACTTTCAAGTATGCTCTGTTAAGAGTACATACCACGCCAACTTTTGACGGGAAGTCTTACTGTGGTGAAACTGTGTCATTCGTTTGACGCACTTTAAATTTGGGGCTGTTAAGGGTATATTCCGTGCCTAATTTCATAGAAAACTTCTGCCGTGGTAAACTGTGTCATACCAATGACGCACTTTCAAGTATGCTCTGTTAAGAGTGTATGCCACGCCAACTTTTGACGGGAAGCCTTAGTGTGGTAAAACTGTGTCATTCGTTTGACGCACTTTACAGTTTGGGCTGTTAAGGGTATATTCAATGCCTAATTTCATAGAAAACTTCTCCCGTGGTAAACTGTGTCATTCCAATGACGCACTTTCGAGTATGCTCTGTTAAGAGTACATACCACGCCAACTTATGTCGGGAAGCCTTACTGTGGTGAAACTGTGTCATTCGTTTGACGCAAGTTGGGGCTGTTAAGGGTATATTCCGTGCCTAATTTCATAGAAAACTTCTGCCGTGGTAAACTGTGTAATTCTAATGACGGCACTTTCAAGTATGCTCTGTTAAGAGTGTATGCCACGCCAACTTTTGACGGGAAGCCTTACTGTGGTGAAACTGTGTCATTCGTTTGATGCACTTGATAGTTTGGGCTGTTAAGGGTATATTCCGTGCCTAATTTCATAGAAAACTTCTGCCGTGGTAAACTGTGTCATACCAATGACGCACTTTCAAGTATGCTCTGTTAAGAGTACATACCACGCCAACTTTTGACGGGAAGCCTTACTGTGGTGAAACTGTGTCATTCGTTTGATGCACTTGATAGTTTGGGCTGTTAAGGGTATATTCCATGCCTAATTTCATAGAAAACTTCTGCCGTGGTTAACTGTGTCATACCAATGACGCACTTTCAAGTATGCTCTGTTAAGAGTGTATACCACGCCAACTTTTGACGGGAAGTCTTACTGTGGTGAAACTGTGTCATTCGTTTGATGCACTTGATAGTTTGGGCTGTTAAGGGTATATTCCGTGCCTAATTTCATAGAAAACTTCTGCCGTGGTAAACTGTGTCATTCCAATGACGCACTTTCAAGAATGCTCTGTTAAAAGTAACTGTTATATACCACGCCAACTTACTGTGGTGAAACAGTGTCATTCGTAGACTGGAATTTCTGTCTAGGAGCTCTGATAATATAACTAGTTTACACAAATTTAGTGTCTGCAGTCTCCAGCAGATTAACAACTATTTCTTATAATTGTCTTACATCGGGCAGCGAATATATCAAATTTTGCTTTTAATCAAACAGCTGCTCTGTGTGAAATTCTTAAAATGTGAATTCACGAAGCGTACGCGTTTTCCAGACACGAGATATGCTTTGGAAATTAAACCAGTTGGTCATTTGCTACAATACACATCCAGCATTGATTTCCAGACAGCCCCTCACCTGGTCTAGCAGAACCCCTAGGCCTCCTGCAAATGTTTTTACACTGGGTGGACATGAGGCAATTTTCAAACATTGGGCAAAATCTGTGGACATCGGGGTCAAAAGTGGTTTCTATGTGTTGCTAGGGGAGGCAACGGCCACTTTTCTGGGTGTTGGCTCCATGCTGCAAAGTTGAGTTTAACGGTGGTGAGTATACTTTCTGTGATAAAGCTGTGTCATTCGTATGACGCACTTTAAAGTTTGCGTCATTCCAATGACGCACTTTCAACTCTGCTCTGTTAAGAGTATATACAATGCCCACTTTTGACGTGAAATTTTCTGTCATGATGAAACTTGCGGTCAATCCTATGAGTAGTATGACGCAATTTCAAACTTGCTCTTCGATAATAATACGTTTATTGCAAGTTCGTGCCCTTGGCCTTGGGCTAATAGCAAGTAACAAAGACATGGAGACAACGATACATGGAAAAATACATACAAAAGGATTGTTAAAGTTGCTATACTATTTTCTAGAAGGTAATCGTCTAAAACCGTGATTACGATGAGCAGCATAATAAAGGATTTGTGAGGCTTTCTTCGTTTCAGTCACAAAACAACCTATGGTGTGGTCATCGCTGAAAGCCCAGTGCTTTAGCCTCACTTTCTTGAACATTTCGTTAAGTCGTTACTTCATAAACGCTGTCAGAGGATGCTTACTACATTTGTACTACTCCCGTACACTACCGTCACAACTTGGTAGCGTGACCCGGAAACAGATGTGCCTCGGCTCCTAAGCGGACACCTCAAAACCCCCATGTGGTGCGTATTTGGGCTTGAAAACAATGGCGGAAACCATTGAAAACTATCTGAATATGCATCAATTTTAACTCGATAAATCTCGTTTCTCGCAGAAGTCTGATTGCTCGGGTGCACTGCAGGAGCTAGGACAACTCGTGACGATTACAAAGACACATTTATATGGCTGATTGGACCGTTTTTGTGTGAACTGTTGAGTTTTTCCGTGACCATGTCTTATGCCTCATATCGGCGCGTCACATGCCGACTAGCTATTTTACTACTTTTCTGTCGCGCTGTGGAATATTTAGGCTGATCTAAACATCGGCAACCCGGCCAATTGTGGAGTTATATTGTAGGGAAGCTCGGGACAGCAAAAAACCGGGTCAAAAACGGAGCATCGGGCAGCCAACGGGAAATGTGCAGTTCTGCCAATGGATCTTTCCACGACTCTTGCTAAGGGTAATGCAATGTAAGCCCGAATCAAGAGTCGCCACGGCTAGGAATCTATGCAATGTAAGCCCGAATCAAGAGTCGCCACGGCTAGGAATCTGCAAGTTTTTATGTTAGGAATTTTAAGAGCGGCTCGACATGGGTCTTTTATACTTCTAGACACGTTTTAATTATCATGAAAGTTCATCTGTTTAGGGTTAAAACTTTCGTTCCAACACAAATTATGTACTGCCCCCCTCCCCACCAAATATCCATCCAAAATACACTTCCAATGCAGGCTTCTACTTCCAAACAAGCATCCAAGAAGAAAACATTAACGACAAAAATGATCTTACCTGTAAGTCTGTGGTGGTTAGTGGTCTTCTCGACTTCTGGAATTCCGTAAAATCGCGTCAGATCGGAATAGACGTCGATGGAATAAATCAAAATGGCGGCGGGTCAAAGGTGAGAGGTTACAGACCGGATACTTACTTGACAATGGGTCAAACCACAGATCGCCGCTTAACGAGTTCCTCTAATATGTTTTTTTAGGAAAAATGTCGTTCTACGTATATTTCTATTTAGGTTTAACGAAGGAAAACATATTGTTTTTACTCAATTTCCTCTTCTCCAAACACTAACCTCTGACCTGGCCAATGACATGATTTGTTGACGTATGTCACCATGGTGACTGGTGTTGGGTTACATAATGTTGCAAATTTCATGGTCTGCTCTGCTCCTGTCACTATATACTAGTAGTACATGTATGTGAATATGTTTGAGTAAAAATTAACAGGGCAGACCATGTCCGAAGGTAAACATTATGCTTTGCAAATGTTACTTCTCTAGTTTTAATTCTACTTCTGTATATATATAGAATACAACACGGGGTATTCCGTATCGCCCGAGGTATCGGCCCGACCGCGGGTCGGATCGCCCGACGGCCGCAGGGCGATTCGACTCGCGGGAGGGCCGGGACCGAGGGCGATGCGGAATACACCGTGTTGTATTTTATTTATGTCATACCCACCCAAGAACACACGCCTTTCAATGCAAGATAAGCCAAAAGTTGGTGCCACTGAACCCTAAACTGCAACAACATAAATTCCAACGTCCGGATTCTGTATTCGAATTTTCGAAAGGGGCACAAGCGGGTAGGGCGAAACGCGTTCGAATCGTTTTATGGAAGCCATGGAAGCGTTCGATAACGGGTTCCGGACCGGGCCGTCCGGTCCGGAACCCGTTATCGAACGTTATCGCGGCCCGGGTATGATATAAGTATGAATATAACCGTTTTGTGCTCGTATGTCCTGGAGGTAAAAACAAGTTACGAAAGCAAAGGATTGACAATAACCAGGCAATATAATATAGCACAAAATTCATTTAATTTTGAGAGATCTTTACCTAAATTGTGCAAAATTTTCTCTAAATGTTACACTCATATCCACAATCCAGTTTACCTTTTAAGTATAATATATATTGCTGTAAGATAAAACAATATAAATACAAAGACAGTACAGACTACTAAGTTATGTATACTATACAAAAAATGCTTATGTTTAAAATGTAATGCTATTAAAATGTTACAATATTCATTCGAAAATATTTGACTTAAACAAGACTTTAACAAGGAAATACCAATGTTAAGAAATTTTAGATACCCAGATCAGTGTCAAAAATAAGTGAACAGTCGATTTTAACTCACAGTGCATCTATACTTAAGTACTGTAGCCTCTACCAGGCTTCGGGAGGCGGCTGGAAAGAGTAGAAATCAGCCAAATAGACAGATAACATGCCCGGGGAGTTTGTCTGCTGGGAGAGAGCATTTTTCTGTCTCCCGAAGCCTGGTAGAAGCTATATGTACTGAACCTATCCCAGATGCAAAACCTACATAATATTAGGTGGAATTTCACATAGGCTTTTCTCAGGCACATAGTTTGCAGTTAAAATGATATTCTTTGCCAATCTGCCTGAATATCTGTATCTGTATAGCCGGTATACATGTAACTGCCTTTCAGTGAAACACATCAGCTTTGCAGGCACGCGGCGTGGCGGCAGCTGGCTATATCACACCGATAGACTTGTTACACCTAACCCTTGAACATCTAACTCTAGACATTGTTTAAAGTTATGTCCAATTCCAGTGCAAATTTCTTTACCACAGAGTAGTTTTCAGGTACAGATTAACACTACAGAAAATATGGTCACACGATACCCATGTTTTGTGATATAATTCTTATATTATGTCTAGCGGTGACGTGAATATAGGCATTTTGCTAGATGAGTGCGTCACCACTATGTATTGTATTTTTGCATGTTGAAATAAAAATTAAAAGAAAGGTCACTCCTGGAGATTTTCTTCTTCCATTTTGACTTTCTAGCTACAAGAGGACAAAGTTGTTGGTGGTGCACTTCTCACACTTGTAGATTCAGCTTCATTCTCATGGTTCATCAAATTTGATTGATTTATAAAATGTGCAGACAGTTCGAATTGTCTAGCTGCAGAGTTGTTACAAAGATGGCACATGCAAGGTTTTTCTCTTTTATAAGTTTTATGGATTCGCATGTGTTGGGATAAGGCAGATCTGTTTGTTGTCCGGTACCCACACTCCCCACAAATATAGTGGTCCACACCGTCGTGTGTTCCTAGATGTTTGTTCAAAGTACATTTCCGGGCAGTAGAAAAGTCGCACTGGTCACACTTGTAGGGTTTTTCTCCTGTATGGCCTCTCATATGTTGGGAAACGTCAGACTTTTTAGCTGACCTGTATCCACACTCCCCACACATGTAGGGTTTCTCACCGGTGTGTTTTAGTCGATGTGTGTCCAAAGTGCATTTTAATGTTGCAGAATAGTCACACTGGTCACATTTGTAGGGTTTTTCACCTGTATGGGTTCTCATGTGTCGGGATAAGGTAGACTTCTGAGTTGCCCTGTACCCACACTCCCCACACATGTAGGGCTTTTCGCCGCTGTGTATTGCTATATGCCGGTCCAAAGTTGCCTTGTGTGTTGTAGCATAGTCACACTGGTCACACTTGTAGGGTTTTTCTCCTGTGTGGGTTCTCATGTGTCGGGATAACTCTGACCACCAAGTCGCCCTGTATCCACACTCTCCACACATGTAGGGTTTCTCACCAACATTATTCAATTTCACATTTTGTACTACAATCTTGTCAGCATTGCTACTTTTGCTGTCGCAGTTGACTGGTGAAACCCCGGTGGGAGACGCATCACAGCAGTTCTGACCAACTCTGGTGGGAGACCCATGTCCTGCTGTGGCCATGTCCAACCTAAAGTCAAGAGAAACGAAATTTTAAATTAGAGATGGATCATTCAGTGCTAGAATTAAGATGAGCAAAAACCATGGTGAAATCATTTATAAACTGATCATAGGCTATAGACACCTTCACCCTTAGTATATCCAAGTGAAGTTAAACATTTACATGTAACAAACTACTGCTCTGTTCATATTGTTACTCAAACACAATCCGATATCATATACTAGTATACAATATTATTATCATATACAATGGATAGTAATTACAAAAATACATGGTGACCAGCCCCTCAAACAATAAAATGTAACCCAACACCACAGGGTGTCTGTCAAAGCACTCGTTACCAAAAAAAAAAATGGGTCAAATCATATATAGGAAGCTATGTTGAATTTCGACGCCTGTAAAAAGGTAACATTTTGCAAATCAAATTCATAGTGTTCATCTTCACATACGAATTTTACAATCAATCTTACTTCCGTGTCAACAACATCTCAGTCCCTGGATAGCGGCTAATTTGTCTGTAAATAATGTAAAGTGATTTCGCCCCCCTCCCCCTTCATTTCTACCTGTTTCACACCCACAAAATGCCTATAAATTATGACCTTACTGTGATTCTTCTTCCACAGAAATGGTCTAAAACTATTCCCACCAACATTAGAATACTTTTGTGTCCGTTTCTAAGCCTTACCTGCTTCCTATGATGGTTTTTCTCTTCACGTAAACCGGAACTCGGGCAGCTTTGCTGTCCTTTGTTCCTTCCGTCGTATGTTGAGGTCAGAGGTGAACTCCATGTGGGTCAGAGGGGAATTTTACTCCCCTGATTACCCAAATAGTACAGTATTCTTCCGCCAACACCTTTACAGATTTTATCAATGTTTCTTACAAAAAGATGAATCAAAAACGAAACTCCCCATTACAATTCAGTATTATTCGTGGCATGGTTGAAGCATCTAAGCAAAATTTAAGATTATATTTAGGGGGTTTTTGTTCTTTCCGGCGGCCATGTTTCTTTTCAAGAACGTCCTGGAGTTGTACTCTCCAAGCAGAGGTTTGGGGTTATTTTTGGCGTTTTTAGCTTTTTTTTGTCGGGGTTTGTTTTTTGCACTGGCATTTTCCTTTCACCCAACCCAACCCTTTTTGAGTGAAAGAAAAATTCCAGGGCAAAAAAGAAACCCCGATAAATAAGGCTAAAAACACGCCAAAAATAACCCCAAACCTCTGCTTGGAGAGTACTGGAGCTGTCTCACACCGCAGTTTCTCTGCAGCTTTGCACCTACCAATGTAAACACTCGGGGGCTGCCGTGTAGTTTACACCCAGGCTTCTCCCATGGCTGTTACATGGTGGCTCCATAACGACAAATTAAAACGGAATGAACTATGAATTTGTACATTTTTATGTTTACCAAAGGAAAATATATTGTTTTTGCTCTGTTTCTTCCTCCTCTTCTTCTCCAGCGACCTCTGTCCTGACCAATGGCATGATTTGTTGACGTCTGTCACCATGGTGACTGGTGTTGGGTTACATAATGTTGCAATTTCATGGTCTGCTCTGCTCCTGTCACCATATACTAGTAGTATATGTGTGTGAATGTGTTTGAGGAAGAATTAACAGAGCAGACCACGTCCAAAGGTAAACATTATGCATTTGCTTTCCAAATGTTACTTTTCTAGTTTATCAATATTATTTATCATTGTTTTCGGTTAGTTACCGTTTTTGCATTACTATCAGTCATCATCGTTATTTATTGTATTTTGATTTTATTGTATGTGACTTAATGTATTTTCTTTATTTATGTGTGGTACGCTGGGCCCTACTGAAAAGCAGTGTTATCACTGAGTGATACAACCCTGTACCCTGCAATATGATACTGCCTGGCCAATTTGATACCGTCTTTTGCCACCCTAGGATCTGCTTGGAGATTATGTTCAACCCATCTTGCTCTTCTTTGCTGTTTAGCTGGCAGCCCAAGAAGCCTGATAGAGACTAGTGTGTACCTACTATAGCAACAAACTGAATGACATAGTCTTTTAATGGTCCTAAGGAAAACACTTTATTGGGAATTCCTTCAGTATACTAGTATTTGAGCTGTGTAAACTGTACATCACATCTGTCAGCATATGTATAACATTTGTCCTTCTTGCTGCCACTAGCAAGTCAAGATGTTTACTGCTGAAGTCCTTGTTTTTTTTTAACACAGTCAAGATGGTTACAAAATGAGTTGGCTACAATCTCTCTATGAATGTTCATTGTTACAAACTGTTGACTGCAACAAAAATTGTGGCCTTTGTTGACGATGAGTGACCTCTGCCCCTTTGCAGTGTGGACTACCACACAAATGGTAACCTCTGACCCTGTACACTGTTGACTACCATAAAGTGACCTCTGACCCACAGCAGACTAGACTACCACAGTGACCTCTGACCCACTGCAGATTTGATGTCAGGACAAATGGTGACCTCTGACCCTCCTCAGAGTTGACTGACCCACAATTGATGACCTTTAACCTCCAGCAAAGTTGACTACCAGACGAATGGTGACCTCTGACCCACAGCAGAGTTGACACAAATGGTGACCTCTGACCCTTCAGCTCTCACTACCAGACGAAGGGTGACCTCTCCCGTAGGATCCTGATGCCGAACTTGCGCCACTCGCGCTGCCCGACCCACAGCTCCTGGGTCGTGTCCAGACAGGCCAGAACGGCAGCTCCCTTCCAGCAAACCATCTGGGGGTCCTGGTCCTACATGGGAGTAAACAAACACGTGTTACAAACAAACAAAAACATAAACTCACATACAGATAAACACACACAGACACACAAGCACACACAAAAACATACACACACACACACACACACACACACACATACACACACACACACACATGTAAACTCACACACACACACACACACACTGTGTGAGTGATTTTGACCTTTGCCCCACTGACCTTTGCCCCAGTGGTGAGCTACTGACCTTTGGCCTGGTGATGACCTCCATGGTGTCGGCAATGTTGCGGTACTTGGCAGGCAGCTGGGCCCTGACCCTGTGTAGCAGGAAATTCTGGGCCCCCGGAAACTTCAGCCCCCCTCCCACCACCAGGATACAAGAAAACATCTTCTTCTTGGTTTCGTCTGAAGCTGCAAGCAAAGAAATAAATAAACTAGAGAGGTGACATTTGCAAAGCAGATGCATAATGTTTACCTTTGCATATATATATGTATACATGGTCTGCTCTGTTATAAATACATTCATATATATGGTCAGACAGGAGTATAAATCCCTCCTACTAGAAAATTGCAACATTATGTAACCCAATACCATTTACAATGGTGAAAGACGTCAAGAAATCAAGTCATTGGCCAGGTCAGAGGTCAGTGTTTGGAACGGAAAAGGAGGAAACGTACGGTACGGACACTTGACGATGCCTGATTTTGCAGCACAGATTTTCCAATCTATGGAAGGTTTTAGGTGGTAATTGGAAAGAAAGGGGGTATATGACATGTATTTTTTTTAATAAGTCCAGAATTTGATCATAACGTTAAGTTTTTTTCGGACTTGAACCTAAACATTTTTATAAGTCGGAACCAGTCCAGTGAACCCGTACACAGCACTACTTACCACAGCACTCTATACTGTGCAGGATGGCCTGATCCACTCCCATCAGCTTCAGGGGGCGGGTTCAGACCCCCTCCGTGAGGCAGAGGGTAGCCTGACCGACCCCCTGCGATGCTTAGCCTCTGACCCCCCTGCTGCTTCTTCGCGCGCCCGCTTGTGTCTGGGTTCCAGACTAGGTTTGGCGTCGGACGAGGTTTTGTCACCTTCTCCGCCGTGCTTGCTACTAGCCTTGGCCTTCTTCTCCGCAACAGCCTTGGCTACCTGCAAATGCGAAAATCATGCATATCAACAGTGATGGCAGACTTCACACCCTTACCCATACTCCTTATGGTAAGGTTGGAGGTTAAAGGTTAGAGGTTGGAGGTTAAAGGTTAGAGGTCAGCCATGCTTTCTGCTAGCCTTGGCCTTCTTCTCTGCAACAGCCTTGACTACCTGCAAATACAAAATACATACATACATACATGAAGGATATGGCAGACTTCACACCCTTACCCATACTCCTTATGGTAAGGTTGGAGGTTAAAGGTTAGAGGTCAGGTGTGCTTACTGCTAGCCTTGGCCTTCTTCTCTGCAACAGCCTTGGCTACCTGGAAATACAAAATACAGCAGGGATGGCAGACTTCACCCCCTTACCCATACTGCTTAAGGTAAGGTTAGGAGTTAAAGGTTAGAGGTTACCTGTTGCTGTGTACTCTGTGTCTGCAGCTGGTAGAGGTGCGTAAGGTTAGAGGTTACAGGTCAGGTTAAAAGTTACATGTTGCGTGGCTGCTGTGTGCTGTGTCGACAGCAAGTAGAGGTGGGTTAAGGTTAGAGGTAAGAGGTCAGGTGTGAGAAGGTGAAGGTTGGAGGTCACAGGTCTGGGTTGAAAGGTTACCTGTTGCTGTGTGCTCTATGTCTGCAGCAGGTGGAGCTGAGGAAGGGTTAAAGGTTACAGGTCAGGGTTTAGAGGTTAAAGGTTACCTGTTGCTGAGTACTCTGTGTCTGCAGCAGGTAGAGATGAGTAGAGGTTAGAGGTAAGAGGTCAGGTGTGAGAAGGTAAAGATTAGAGGTTACAGGTCAGGTTAAAGGTTACCTGTTGCTGTGTGCTCTGTGTCTGCAGCAGGTAGTGTTCGTCTTGGATGTCCTCGGGGTCTCCCTGGTTCCTGAGCTGAGTGTGGACCAGACTGCCGCCGACCAGCCCAAACAGCTGCGGGTAGAACAGACCCATGGGGGCCTAAAGGGGGAGACATAGACCCATGGGTTAGTGTGGGGTAGAACAGACCCATGGGTTAGTGTGGGGTAGAACAGACCCTGGTTCCTGAGCTGGGTGTGGACCAGACTGCCGCCGACCAGCCCAAACAGCTGCGGGTAGAACAGACCCATGGGGGCCTAAAGGGGGAGACATAGACCCATGGGTTAGTGTGGGATAGAACAGACCCTGGTTCCTGAGCTGGGTGGGACCAGACTGCCGCCGACCAGCCCAAACAGCTGCGGGTAGAACAGACCCATGGGGGCCTGCACGGAAGAAACAGACCCATGGGTTAGTGTGGGGTAGAACAGACCCATGGGCCTGGGCAGAAGCTGAAGTGAAGGCCATATACATCAGGGCCCATCACCCTTCATTGAACTGCGACGGGGGCCGACATCGTCTACCAGATACCTTTGACCCAGTGTTGACGTCACACTTCAAAGAAGCCACGTGACAAGCCTCACTGGGTCAGTCTACTGAGGAAGACCAGAGTGACTGGTCGAAAGCTCTAGGTGAGAGAATTTTTTGTGTTGGACCAAAAGTTTTAACTTTAAACAAAAAACCTACCTGTATGGTTTCCTCGCCGACCCTGATCTGGTAGCGCCGGCTGAACGTGTCCGGCCTCTGCACATGGACATCCTGCAGCCTGGCTCCAAACTGGTCCTGGGGAGGGGGGAGATTTCTATTGTTAGAAAATTAATGCTGCTGTGGATGTACATTTTTAATTGATAAGTAGGTAGCCATAAATAATTTCATCAGGTTAGAAGATACTTAGGGTATACAATTTTCTTTACACAACCAGTAAGGTTCTCACCTGCTTATGTTTCGATGTCTATCAGACACCTTCCTCAGAGCTTCTGACTGGAGTTCTGCAATTCTCGCCGCAAAAGCGCCCTCTTCATTGGCTATATATAGCGGCGAGATGCAGTACTCCAGTCAGAAGCTTTGAGGAAGGTGTCTGATAGACATCGAAACATAAGCAGGTGAGAACCTTACTGGTTGTGTAAGAAGAAATTAAAATTCTATACCCTAGATAAGTGGGTAGGTTTTGTGATCTCAGCGGATTTTACGGGTTTTTTTTCTAGATTGTGTGCTGGTGTGTGGAACTGCAGTACCTTGTTGAGATGACAGGAGGCATGCTTGAGCTCCTGCAGCAGCTGGCAGTCCAGCCGGTCCAGCAGGTTGCAGTCCTTATATGGGAAGTTGGTTTTCCTCAGAAGCCACTCCAGGGATCGGGTTACGTCCCTGCCGCCGTAATCCAGCCAGAGTCTGAGAGAACAACACATGAACACAGGTACATACATAGAATACAACACGGTGTATTCCGTATCGCCCGAGGTACCAGCTTGACCGCGAGTCGGATCGCCAAAGGCCGGAGGGAGATCCGATCCGCGGGAGGGCTAGGACCGAGGGTGATGCGGAATACACCGCGTTGTATTCTATTTATGTCATACCCACCCAAGAAAACATGCCTTTCAATGCGAAATGAGCGAATATTTTGTGTAATATGCTAAACTTCCATACCTGGTGCAGGGAAACATCGCTGGAAAGGTTGTTTGTACTGACTGACCTTGAGTTTCTGTGGGAGAGTCCGTCCTCCACGCAGGACACGGCTGTTTTCTGGTCCCCGACGTCCACCACACAGGCGCTGGCCACACCACTGCCAAAGGTCGCACACACTGACTCCTGCACAAACATACATATATGTAACCTTTAACCTGTAACCTCTGACCCACCACACAGGCGCTGGCCACGCCGCTGCCGAACGTCGCACATACTGACTCCTGTATTTGTAGATTTGTAGAAAAATTCTCAACAAAGACACGTCTTGCCAATTCCACCGAAGCAAATCACCCTTTCTTCCTCCATTCTCCACCTCTTAGGAGGAAGTTCCATGCTGAAAGCTTCTTTCCCAAAACAACTTTGGAATGAGCTACCTCGTGATTGCTTCCCCTATGAGTATAACCTTAAACTCTTCAAGTCTAAGGTCAACAAACATCTGTCCTCACTGGCTGTTCTGTAACCCAAAACATTTTAAGTGGCTTCCATGAGCCTTGTTTTGTGGTAACCGATGAAGTAAATAAAAAAAAAGAAAGATACCGGTAACATGCAGGTATCTTTTAATTGTCAGTTATGACTCAATTCAGCAATTGTAGCTGCAATGGCATATTATCTGTTGTGTGATTTTCATTATTAAAAATAAACCGTCATTCTTATTGATTCTTATTCGTAACCATACAGAACTTATTCTCTCATGTCTACTAGTAACCTTTAACCTACAACCTAAAACACACCACAAAGGCACTAGCCACACGGCTGCCAAATTTTGCACACTCTCAGTTGGAGGGTGCCAAGTTAAACCGGACCAAAGGTTGGGAGCTCCCCAAGACTTACTTACCCTTACTTCGGAGGGAGGCAACAGGGGGTGGGACCCGACAGACCGATGCAAGTCTCGGGCCTAGTCTCGCGCTCTCGCAAGATTAGGCCACTCCGTGAACAAGATGGACTGATAGCCATCGAAAATTTGGAGGTCAGTATCTTTACCCTTCAAACTTGTCACTGTTGGAAGAATCTTCTAGTAACTGATAAAATATTGACTGTCAGCCCACCTGATGTGCGATGGCAGCGGAAAAGCCCAGCCTGTTCAGCAGCAGGTTGATCAGTTCTTTGATGTGTTGTCTGTTGTAGATGTCTGGGACAAGCAGGATGCATCTGTAGTGCTAAACAAACAAACAAACAAACAAACAAATAAACAAACAAATTTTAAATGACAGGTGTGACAGGCTGAATAAAAGTTCTAAACGGGAACTATTGCGCTCCAGATGTCTTACTGAGGGACGACTGCGTGTGCGAGATGTCAGTTAGCTTGAGGAATGAATCCCCTCTACTATATACTGCAAACAAATTTTAAATGAATGAACAAATAAATGAACAAATGAATGAACTAGAAGGGTACCATTTGCCAAGCAAATGCATACTGTGCACCTTCACATGGTCTATCCTAACAAACTACTGCTCTGTTTATTCTTACTCAAAGAAAAAAAAACATGATTGTTTTCCTCATGCAAAGGGAATAAATGAGTGAATGAATGAATGAGGGAATTAATGAGCAAATGAACTTGCAAATGAATGAGCAAATGAATTTGCAAATGAATGAATGAATGATCAAATAAATGAGTGAATGATTGAATGAATAAATGAATGAATAAATGAATGAATGTGCGATTGAATGAATGAATGAAGGAACAAATGAATGAATGAACAAATGAATGAATAAAGAATGAATGAATGAGCAAATGAATGAACAAACAAAAACAGAGCCCCTACTTTCAGGTCCTTGACAGGAATGTCCAGAAACTTCTCGATGGCCGTGGTCCAGATGGTCTCGAGGTCTGCTAGAACTGCGGTGAGAGACCCTCCGGTTCCGCTGTGCAGGTGGAGCTGGCCACACGACATCGGCCAGTGGACGTTGTAACTCTCCGAGGGGTGCAGGTACAGGACCTGGGGGGTGTTGGGTGGGGGTGGGGGTAACAGAAGACAGGCACTGTTATGCAGGGCTGGAAATACTGGGTGCATGTGCACCTTGGTGCACCCAAACATGGAGCTGTGCATCCAATATTTCTCTGTAGATGCACCCAAATATTTTTGTAGGTATTTTTGTACACATCATATGTATAATAGTATGCAGGATAGTCTTCATATACAAGTGTCAGAAAAATAATAAGACTGTGATTACTAAGGTTTTAGGACCTAGTAGAAAGCTTTGTTTCTGGTACATTTGAAACAAAAAAAAGTTGATCATGATCAAAGAAGCCTTATTCGCTTTTATTTTTATTCATCAAAACATAAAGACATAACAAGGACAGTGTGACGCTGCACTCAAGTTAACAACTTATATTAACTGCGCCACACAACAAAAAAGGTACAATTAACATTTAAATATACAAAGTTGTCATATCTGTGCGCCGTAGTCCCACCACCCCAAGACATTAAAATGTTAAATTAAATGCTAACAGAGCTATTTGAAAGATAAGATTACATGGTAACCTCCTATATCTCATTGGCGGAAAAACATCCGCCAATCAGAGCTAGGAGGGGGATTTAGGCCCATTATTCGCTGTTGCTAATTGTTCATCTTCTTGTGTTGGATGACAGGAAAGTTACCACTCTGGGGTCTCCTGAACCGTCTGTCATTTCTCGGCCTAACACAGCACTTCTTTCAGCGGGGTACTGAAGTCGCCTACGGGATGCGCTTTGTCCGTTGCCAAAGTGTGCAGTTCACTCCCGCCTACCATGAGCAGGTAGAATTCCCGGGAAGAGCTGTCCGTTTCGAAGCCAAAATCATCTTCGTCGGGAAAACCTCGTATATATATGAGACAAAAATGTTTGACCGAGACACCGACAAGGAACTAGCCAATCGGCGAATTCAAGTGGTCAGCATCAACAAGGAGACGCGAAGGCCGAAGCCTCTTCCTGATTGGGCGATAGAGCAGTACTCACACCTGACGTCACTGCCACGCCCTGCAGTGGTACAACCGTTTGACCTGTCCGATGTCAAACCAGCCTTTGTCTATCCGGTGACAGTGCCACCTAGCGATATCGACCTGAACATGCACACTAACCAATCTCAGTACGTCCGCTACTGTTTCAACTGCGCAGCGGCGGGGGCCAAGAGAGGCGCGTACTCCATCATCAGTGGTGACCTTCTCGACTACGACCTCCGAAGTGTTGACCTGCTGTACCAGAAGGAGTCACAAGAGGGCGACACCCTCCGCATAGAATCCTGGGAAGACATCAGGGAGCCTGATACCATCAAGTTTCAGGTCAAGAAAGGAGACGACAATATACTGCAGTGTAAAATGAGCTTTCACATACCCAGTGTCCCTGACATCGAGAAGGCAAAACTTTGATCAGATTGATTTCCATTCTTAAGTCCATGTTTAAGTAGAACAGATAGTCCACGTTATTAGAAATTGTCAATGAAAAAATTACAGCAAAGTTAAGCAACGAATTTACCATTCAAGAATTCAGTTAATATTAACTGAATTCTTGAATGTCAATGTTACATCATAATCATTTTAATGTCATTTCAATGTTATGAAATCTCTCTCGTCTATGTGTAGACTATGATAATTTAATTTTGTGTAATGTTACATTCCCTACATTTATCTTAGAGAGCACAACTATAACATATCATTGTTTGAAGCTTTTCGTATTCCATACCTCATATTTCTTAATTGTAAGTCTTTGTAGATATCATGTTTATAATCAATGTCAGATATGAATGTGATGTAAATATTTGAATTTTTTGTGTTTTGGTGAGAAAACCATATTTGAACATACTCGAGTTGATGGCTATTTAAGTCAAATCAGTTTCATGAAATCACCTTTAACTTACAACAAAGTATTATTATAAAGCAAACTTTTTTGTACCTTTACCTGTTGTACCTTTTATCTCCAAGCAGATCCCTTTTGGTGGCAAAAAGACAGTATCAAATTGGCCAGGCAGTATTCATTAGCCAGAGAAGGTCACCGACCACCGACGGGATTATCGACCAAAAAAAATGGCCATATATAAAAAGCTAACGATAATTGCCCCCACAACCTCTGCTTGGAGAGTACCAATTTCTAGTGGTGAAATAACCAATTCTGAACATATAACGTTACATGGTCTGACATTCTGTACCATCATATGATTCTGTTCAGAAAGTCTGTAATAATGTGTCAACATTACATGTATGTCTATGGCTCAGTCTCCAGTTGTCTCTTTGTGTGTGTGCGTGCATGCGGGTGTGTGTACGTGTTTGTGTGTGTGTGTGTGTGTGTGTGTTTAAATCATTTGTGACCACATGACCACATAGATTTCAACTTTTCTGCCAAACATTTTTATTCGCACGCTCGCGTCAGTTTAGGGTTAACCGGGGGATGTCATCCATATAATCAAATGAACATGGCCTAAACGAGACACGCATTGCAGACATTTTGCGCGTGGCCTAACGTTACTATGGATGTTCAAACTATGTCGTGAAACTTTCTTAACACGTCCCTGTGCACATGACCATGTTTGTGTCTCAACTACTACAAAGAGACAGCAAAACATTTACTCTCGACCAATAGTATTGCCGGATATGATCGCGGGGGTCAAAGGTTATGGGCGTGGCGGAGACAACCTGCTAGCTGACAACCTGTGCTTGTTCGAGCCACAAACACCACCGAAATAAGGCAGTTGGAGCTCTCACTACTGTATCCTGTGCATAAGGTAAGAATTGTAATCTTAAAAAGGCGCAACTATATAAAGTGCTAGTTCTTTTGATATGACATGAAACGTTAGCATTTTGAAATGTTACGTTTTGAAGTGGATGTCGCGTACTTAAAATAGCGGGCTGTAATTTAGATAGGCGGGGGAAGAGCTCTTGGCTGCCGAAGGAAAGCGGCTAACGGCCCGATACTAGTTTGGCACCCAGGGTATATCGTACGATCTCTAACCGAGAGAACACCAAAACGCCCTCGAGAGCTCATATCAAACAACCATCAAGCTATTGTGTGACGACGAAAGGCTAATCTAATAGGGATTTAAAGACCTGTTATCAACAAAATAGATCTACTCGTATATCATCGTTGCTGAGTCTAGAGCGGTAGCCTGGGTACCAAACTTTTGGTCGGCTAAGCGGTAATTTTTCGGCCCGGCCTTTACCAAGAAAAGGCGAGTTATACCACGGACCTATCTACAGCTCGTTTCCCTGTATCCGCTGACTTCCTGTATTACGCTTAGTCTTCTGTTGCCGCCGACAAAGAAATCTAACCCCATCCGTACCCCCACCCCTACCCCTACCGAAGCCTGGTTGGCGGCCCCAAACGCTCTCGGCGCCGAAGGGATAGCGCTGAGCTCAAGGCGGTCTGGCTACCAGGCCTAGAGCGGCTGCCATTCGGCGCTAACTCAGGTGACCTCAATACGACCCCTGGTGCGATACACTACTAATAGGACAGTAAGGTTTTAGGAGCTGGGTTTTAGCCACTCTCACTGAAAAAGACCCCTGCTCTTTTCGACAACTTAGGTGGGTTCTTTAACGTGCTCGAGATATGGCTGTCCACAAACACGGGCCCTTATTTTACGTTCTATCTGAGGGAGGTTCCTGGCCAAAACTAGGTACCAATTTTCACCGGAATGCCTTTATCAGGAGCATAACAAGCCTGTCAGGAATTTGACCCCAGACCAACCTAACAATAAGGCTAACAAACACTACGGATTTTGTTAGTCCTTCATTTTTATGGTGGCTTTTGTCATCAAGCTTTATACCTGTTTGCCTGCGCATGAAAAGACGTACTGATTGACTGTAGACCAGCTATAATTTAATGAAGTGCAGTCCAGACTCCAGACTGTTGACAATGCTATGCAAACATTCGCCGTAGACTTTGCTTACAAACCTTTCAGACCTGAAGACAAGGATACTAAAAATACACCTCAGATTTTGCAAACAAATCAACCTGTTGACATACAAGTGTTTAATTAAGATTTTCAATCTGGAATTAATATCCTAGATAGAAGTCTTTCAGTTGTAAACACCTATTGTTCAGCGTTCCGCGTACATTGTAATGTCACGCCGATTTGCCGGCCGCTATGTTGTGTTTACCTTGTCCTGCGCTAATGTCTGTGTGACTGGGTAACACAAACGTGCAGACGTGATGTATGGATGGTTGTACTTAGCAAATATCACAGGGTTACAGTCTGAAAAATGACTATTTCTTGGTAGAGATAACCTCCTAGTTGGTGGGAACGGGGTGTTAAAGAGGCAATATATGAAAGAATGTACAACCCCACCCTCAACAGGGAAGGGGGGCTACGGGTAGATCTCTCCGGCACTTGTTTTGGCGCTCTCAGCCCCGAGGACAGACAACACTTAAGTTCCTGTTCATATCAATCAATAGTTTGTGCTTATAAACCTGCATTTCTCCTCTGGTCTCTCAGTCACTGACGAAAGCTAGGGGATACTAGCTGAAACGTCTGACCGTTTCCAAAATCATATCCAGTTACTTGAGTAACTGCTTTTTGGCATAACCTCATAGTGTTCGGTAATTAGCACAGGGAGTAGGTTGGGGGTATTCGACATGGCGCTAGCTTGCCGTTATTGTTGTAGAATTATTACGCCAAAATGGACCGGACACAAATAAAATATGACACTTTAGACACCTCAAACTGAAAAAAAACATGGCTAAAAAGCCAACGCAATAAAATATGGCCAAACTAGTAATCTCCAAGCAGATCCATTTCGGTGGCAAAAAGACAGTATCAAATTGGCCAGGCAGTATCCATTAGCCAGAGAAGGTCGCCAGCCACCGACGTTGGTTGGGAAAAGCAACAAAAACGGCCATTTATAAAAATCATTCCCCCACAACCTCTGCTTGGAGAGTACAAACTAGTGAGTCAACATGTTATTCATTCTTACAGCACACGGCGTTCTTTGTCAGCCAAATCAACACAAACTTCGCTGAGGTATCAGATGTCTTTTGGTACATTCACTACCGCGAATGTCAACCTTTTCTATACAAGTCATTTGTACAGAAAAGTTTGACGTTGACAATGGCTGTGTCAATCTGAGCCTAGACTGTGTGTGCTTAAACGTAAGGCACTACCCTGCTCAATAGACAACAGTTGTGCCCAAAGATATCCGATATGTTTTCGCTCAACGTAGTTTAGTGATCATTTGTCGCAGCCTTCAGCAGAATATCTCAGTAGAAGTGGAGCACATCATGCACACACCAATTGTGAACATATACTCTCCTGTGTAGTGAAAAACAGTTAGTACCCGCTAAATTGTGTTCTGATTTTATAATCTACATATTTGCCCCGTCCTTAAACTTAAAATTGAACTGCGATATTTCTTCTAGTGACGGAGCACGTTTATGTCAAATGTATTTTTAGTACAGGGTATTTGAGCCTCTACATCTACATACACACAAACACACACACACACACACACACACACACACACACACACACACACACACACACACGCATACACACCACACACACACAAACAGGGCAGGTTAACACGCACGCACCCACGCACGCACGCACACACACATACATACACACAAATGCATCATAGACAGACACACATACAGATACACATACACACACACACACACATATACGCACACACATACACATACAAAACACAAAAACACCATCAGTTTTCTTGGGCCATTTTTCTGTATTTGTTCACATAATATTATATTTATTGAGTGTTTCCATGCCCTCTGTCACTTCCCAACGGACCAGTCAATGTCCTGTTTTCTCCCATCAGAGAGAAGACTGTAAGAGGAATGGATTGGCAGGGGGATGACTACAGCTTTCTCCACATCGGCGAGTTTTGGAGCTGTCTGGGGGTGACAGGGTTGACGGACTTCCACACATGGCGGGAGAACTACCCTGTGACGGTAGCTGTGCTGGACTCCGGCATCGTGAGGGACCATGACGCCTTCAAACACCTTCCCGAGATCCGCGGCAAGAACTTCAGCTCCACTGGGACTGGCCTGGACATAAGTGTGTACTAGAACTTTATCTTTCCATGAGAGCAGCGCATTTATGATTCGTAAATTGTTGTACTGTAGGCGCATGTGGTCAGTGTAGTGAAGCAAATAACTCACGTATGGGGTAATGTGTCGGTCTAAGAGCAGTGTTCTAGCCATGCCGTTTTAGCATAAGGGCCCCCTATTCTATGCTTTTGACCCCTTATGCTATAATTTTGACCCCTATGCTAAGTTTCAACCAGCATAGAGGTGTTTTGGGAGGGAGAACCTTCATAAATCTTGCAAAAAAAAATGAAAATATGACATTAGAATTAAGCTATAGCAAAGGGAAAACCTTAACTTCACAAAATCTGTTCCTCATTAAACAAGAAAAAGTGTCTCAGGGGGTTATGAGTTTCAAAATTTTTCGTCTCAATGAGTGATTTGCACCACAAAAGTTGCTCTTCTGTACCTGACCCCTATGCTATGAAAAAATCCGGGCTAGAACACTGATTAGAGGTCCGTGTCCGAATGCTGCCATGACACCGATCTTGTGCTCTTGGGAAAGGCACTTAACACGACTTTCCTCACTTAATTCAGGTAAAAATGAGTATGTATGTCGTCTGGTCATGCGTTTGTCTGCGTTGGTGGCGGCATGAAAATGAGTTGTAAAAACTTGAGTGTGCCGTCACCATGTCTTGTAATAAATGTTGAAATAAAAAAAATAACTCACGGTATAGACACGCTCTGTGCAGTGTTGCAGAACACAATATTTTTTTGTTTAAAACCTTTCCATAGCTACCTTTATGACTTCTGTAATAAACATGAAACGGAGGAAAGGACCGTGTTTTTTAAAGAAGGGAATTCCTACAAACATTTATGACGTAAACATCGGCGTCGGTATTTTTTATAGAGTAAGAGGCTCTCTTTAAAAAAAAGACATTGCTTTTATCGGGAACCTTAAAACAATCTATGAAAAGACGTAATATTGTTTTTCCCTCCCCAGATGACAGTGACGGGCACGGTACGCAGTGTGCAGCCATCATCGCAGGTGGAGCGTACCATGCAGAGGACGGGGGTGTACAGGATGCCGGGTTCTGTAACGGAGTGGCGCCGTTCGTGGACCTGTACATCTGTAAAACGGACAGGGATGACGTCACAAGCGTCATCGCCGCCATCAATGAGCTGATCGACAAAAAGAAAGATGGCTCCCTGAAGGTCAGCTTATTTGTTTATTTCAGTTTACAACAAGTAGAAGTATAAGTATACAAATGGAAGGGAGGACAAAACAGGTGCATTGACACCTTTACAAGTTGTGCTCCTAACACTACATGTACGATGTAAATACAGATTACAATAATGAATACAAAACAGATAACAATATCCAACATCATTAACATGAAATATTATACAATAAACATCAAATATCATACATTTAAATCAAATACTGTACAGTAGAATGTCAAGGAATATAATAGATTTTTTTACAAAAATATCAATGATTAAAAACTGGTTATAATACTAGTGACGTCGTAATGCAGTGCAGGAGGCGCACCCGCACGACAGCTGTTAGTTGAACAAATATTTACTGTTTCATATTGAGAGAAACTGTCGCGAGCTGTATAGGAACCTATTTCCCCATCTCACACACTTAATTAAATATAGAGAAATTCATCTTCCTACATTGTAAAGCAACTAAACAAACCATCTATCGAAAATCAAATTCGAGCTCAGAATCAAATTATGTCATTTTATGTCAAGGTTTAAGTCATTAAGTTTAATGTTCAAGGGAAAATTCATGTCTTAAAAGTATTCTTGAACGGATTTTTTGTCTACAACATCAAGTCAGGTGTTTGTTATTTATATTGTACTACAGGTGGATGTGATCTGCATACCCCTCGGGTTTCCCAACTACAATGCGCAGCTGAGGAAGTGCATCTACCGGGCCTCACTCAAAAACATCACGGTGGTCTGTGCGGCGTGTAGCGACGGTTCTAAGCGCTCCCTCGGCGTGCAGTACCCCGCCCGCTTCGGCGACGTCATCTGTGTGGGAAGTCACGACCTGCGCGGCCGGCCAGCCAAGTTCAGGTAGCAGAACACAGTTTCCGCCCTATGGGGATTTGTTTATTTATTATTTGCACGTATAAAAAAAGTTACATAATCAAACAATAACAATAAGAGAATATGCGGGGTAGGCCAGAAACCTAGGTGTTTTTTAAAGGGCCTACCCCAAACAAAGGTAACTATGACAAAACACTATGACAAACATGACAAAACCCTATTTGAATTAAACATCAAAATTAGACAATGAAATAATTGATTAATTAAACAAAATCAAGATAAGAAATAATAACTGAAGTGTGCATGTGCAAACTAGTTTTTACATCTACGAAAAGAATTTAAACAAAAGTCTTATAATTCAGGTCGCTGTTGCAGAAATCAACTTATTAGATAATTAACATAAAAATTAACGATTAAAACAAATTATTAAAAAAAACTAGAAAGGCCAATATTTGCTTTGGAGCAAATACAGCGATGGGTTCACCACATTTTACGACATGGCAGGGAAAGAATGGGAAACACAAGGGAAAACAATGATTTACATTGATATAACTATAATATGAAGTAACATACAACTAAAACAACAGTTGGATAGCTATTCCCTACTTTATTGGTTAGGATTTTTAATTGCATAATGCAAACTGTTGATTTTCAAAATAAATAAAAAACGTTACATGCCCCGCATTCCAATGCTGGAGCAGAAAAGCTTGAAATACCTACCAAAACACTTGAATAAAGACATACTGTCAGTATGGAAATGCTCTGTGCAGGTGTTAATCAAGTTAAATCCCAACAGCCAATCAGCAAGAAATGCTCTGTGCAGGTGGAAATGCTCTATGCAGGTGTTAATCAAGTTAAATCCCAACAGCCAATCAGCAAGAAGTATAGAGGAAAGCTGCATGCCTATTGGTTGATGCCCTGCATTCCATTGTGATGACTCATGCCCAGACGTGGTAAACACGGCACACTAACACAGTAATACATTTGCTATAACACAGCCAAAAACTCAAATAAAACCATTCTAAAAGCCTGTATCACAAAAATTTAAAAAACGCCTAGGGGTATTTGCCCACTGTACCTCCATACCAAATTTCAGGACCTTAGGCCCTAAAATGAAGAAGCTGAATCCATTTAAAAAATGGCAGGAGGAGAAGGAGGAGGAGGAGGAGGAGGAGGAGAAGAAACATCAGAAAAAGCAATATGGGTTCACCACCACTTCGTGGTGTGGTGAACCCATAACAAGGAAAACAAACAAATCAGATCGTAGTGGTACTGGGGTTTTGTCTTTGTCTTTGGTACTGGGGTTTTGTCTTGCATGTATGCAACTCCATTTGCATACTAGGGACAAGTTAAATGAAGCCGTTACCTTCAGTCCGCTAGGGAGGGAGATCGACATCCTGGGGCCCGGGAAGGTCCGGTCGGCCACACCGGGGAAGGACGGGGTGAAGAACGCCATCTCTACGGTAAAGGGAACGTCCTTTGCCGCTCCGTTTGTGGCTGGCGTTGTCGCCATGGTCCTGGCAAATGCACAGCGAATAGGTATGTGCAAGGAGGTTCTTTGGAACTTCCTTGGTATGTGACTTTGCAGTCGGCGATTTTGTGCTTTCTCGATTCTTGACAGGCGATTTGTGTCTTCCATTCCTGCTGGTCAGATGTAGTTATGAGTTTGAATGTTTCGTTTGCAATAGTTTTTTTTTTTGGTTTTCAAAGACATACACAGTCTACAATCTATCCTTTCTTTCTATCTCCAAGCTGCTGATTTGATTGACATGCTTTTTCAAGTGTTTCACCACGAAACCGCTAATGTTAATGAACTATTACTGTAAGAAAATAGTTAATTGCAAAATATCTCTTCTGCGTTAGAAAGAGCTCATGATACATTACAATTGTGCATGTAAGTCCAGTTCAATTATTTGAGTCCAGACCAGTTCTTTATTTTGAGTCCCACATCGTCATCACACACACGCCACCCAACCATGGCGCCTATCCCATCTTGGCCCCAGACAACTTTTTATGTTTAACGAAGGAAAACATATTGTTTTTGCTACGTTTCCTCTTCTTCCGTTCCAAACACTAGCTAGCTGACCTTTGACCTGCCCAATGACCTGATTTGTTGACGTCTCTCACCATAGTAACCGGCGTTGGGTTACATCATGTTGCAATTTCATAGTTGGATTTATACTCCTGTCTGACCATATACATGTATGTGAATGTATTTGAATGAGAATTAACAGAGCCGACCATATGTGAAGAAGGAAAACATCATGCATTTGCTTTTTTAAAAAGCACTTCTTGTCTGATTTTAGGTGGAGAATCTCTCCGTACCGCCGTCTCTAACAACACGGTGATGAAACACATCCTCCGTGAGATGTCGTCAGAACCAGGCGACCACAGCGAGGACCGGGGACACGGCATCCTGGACCCGCTGCAGATCTTCCCTGATGAACACTTCCGACAGACTGTCCAGGAGATCACTGCCGAATATCAGCCTTTGCGAAAAGGTAACCCTTATCGAGTGTCAACGTTTTACAATGTATATACCCTCACACCAGAAAGCTATTTTTTGTAGAACTATCGTAGAGTGGAACTCACTACCATCAAGCACAGTAGGGGCATCCTCACTAGATAGCTTTAAACAATCTCATCTTGAAAGTTCATCTGTGTTGGTAGAAATCATTATGAAGAAAGTTTAAACTGTAATATCCAACGCAAGAAATTGAACTCACCCAAATTTTCGACTGTACAACTTCAGTCTTTGTCAAGGAATGAGCAATCCAACGCTTCCGTGACGTCACACAGATAACACACTACATCTACATCAAGGCATTACAACCATCCCTCAACAGAGACGGGGGGCGCCACAGACTTTCTGCAACCTATGATCCACTGCTCACAGAGTCACGTGTGTTATCTGTGTGACGTCACGGAAGCGTCATGGTGTTATGTTACATAATGTTGCAATCTTATAGCAGGAGGGATTTAGACTCCTGTCATCATATGATATGGATGTGTTTGAGAAAGAATTAACAGAGCAGACCATGAGCGAAGGTAAATATTATGCATTTGCTTTGCAAATGTTACCTTTCTATTTAAGACAATGTTTCATGTTGATGTATGTTCTTATGACTTATCTTCTTGCAGCCTCAGACTCCGGAGATGAACAGCAGGGCAACGAGGGACGTCTGGACATCTCTGAGCAGAAGGTCGAGGCGGCAGAATCTGCTCTGAACGCAGCAGCCAAACTTCAGGCACAAATGCAGAAAATTGCCGAGTCCACGTTCAAACCTGAAGCAAAAGTCACCATCGCTGTGATTGGTGGAAAGTTAGCCAATCCAGAGCAACTTGACATTGTTGCTAAGCAAACCTGTTTTGCGGATGATGAGCCATGTTCTACCAGGGTGTTGGACTTTGCGCCTGGGCACACACAGTATGTTGTTGCCGAGGTTGCAAATTCCAAGCAATCCAAACCGAACATAGCTAACGACATTAACGAGGCAGTTTACGTTAATAAGGCTGATGTCGTCCTCGTCCAAGTTGGGTTCGAAAAGTTCGAACTCAACATGCTCAGAGCTGTGTCAAAGGCTATGCAGAAAGGCAGGGTGAGGATTCCATATATAATCTTTAAGCAGACCATACGGTGGCGAGGCAGTATCCATTGGACAGAGGAGTGTCCGTTAGCCATTCCTCTGGTCAATGGGTACTGGCTTGCCACCGTATGATCTGCTTGGTGATTAGCCATATACGCAGTCACTCACAACTCTACTTGATACTGATAAGGAAGTATGAAATCTGTTCTTTATCAATACCAAATTTATGACCCCTGCACCTTATAAGGCCTTGCATAATTACATGTTGTACTAGTTTACTCTTAAGGCTGCATTTGTCTTGTCATAGTAAGAAGCTTTGTGCAATTGGTTTTTAACCTCCTTGGTCATAGCTAACATTGTCATGTTTTGTTTTGTGGAAACTCGCGTATTGTGTCAAAAGTACAAATAAGGTCAATGACCTGACCTGGTAACTACTTGTGTTAACTTATTGGGTTACATCATGTTGCAATTTTATAGCAAGAGTATGTCTGACCATAAATATCAATGTGTTTGAGCAGAGCAGACCATACGTGTATGTTAAGGTAAACATTATGCAGTTGCTTTGAAAATGTTACCTTTCTACAATGTACGTCAAAAAGCAGCAGTTACTGAAGCAACTAGATATGATTTTGGAAACGGTGAGACGTTTCAGGTAGTATCCACTAGCTTTCTTCAGTGACTGAGAAACCAGAGGAGAAATGTTGCTTGAGTAACTGCTTTTTGGCGTATCTTATTACCTGGCTGTCTAATTATATAACCTTCATCGACGTTTCTTCAATGTAGTTTCCAACTGTTCCCCCCCAGATCGTGATCGCAGCAGCCCCCGAGCTCCCCGAGACGGACAGGGAAATCCCGTTCCCGGCCAAACACGGCGACGTCATCTGCGTGGGGAGCCACTCCGAGAAGGACGAGGGCTCCGCCTTCAACACGCGCGGGCGGGAGATGGACTTCCTGGCGCTCGGCGAGGGAGTCAGCGGCCGCTCCGGGACGGCTGTGGCGGCCATGGTCGCCGCCGCTACCGTCGGATTCACCCTGCTGTATGCCGAGTCCGTTGGTGAGTTACATAAATTCTTTATTGACACAACAAAAAAGTACAGGGACTTTTGAGTGGTCTTCTACAACTAAAGATCTAACAAAGCTAAATACCTGTGTGGATAACGTCATCTTACGTACAGAGTATATGTATGCTGTAACAATAAAGGTTTAACTATTGTCTAACATGTGGTCTACAGGAGACGGTCTGACCCTTTATATAGAACGCCGTTGGACATAATTCTGCTCTTGCTAGGTCGACATTAGAGAAAATGTATTGTGCAGAACGTTTGCGGTGTACAAACATACATGTATACCCTGTAAAAACAGTAGAAACTATGTAAACTTGCGTAATTGCGATTTTTGTTGTCACTGAGAAGCATTTCACTAAGGTGTAGTGACTGATTTCGAGAAAAGAATGTGTCCTGCATGCAAAGACAAACTAAGTTGAAGATGAGTACCATTTTGTAATGATATGTCCCTACTATACCAAAGAAAGGAAAAAACTAATGATGTCATGTAAGAGTAAAATAACACTACCTGGGACAAGTAGAGAAATTTTCAACATGCTGTTATCATGCCCCGACTCTGTATCTGTTTACCTAGTCCAATATGTTCATAATGCTATACAAAAGGGAAACAATGTCACAGCAATGTGAAATGCAACATTCCATTATAACATATATACATGTATTGAAGTTAGATTAGTACACCTAATAGAAATAGTTTATAGTTATAAAGTATTATTTGCCATACATTGTATCCAATTCAATTGTTGTGCAATAAACTTGACTTTTCTGAACTTGTGATAACAACCCATGCAGGTGGTGCTGAGCTGCGGAGGGATATTCAGAGTAACGCGGTGATGAGGGAGCTCCTGCGCGGAGCCTGCTCCAGGCGGGGCCGCCACAGTCCGGACCAGGGACACGGTATCCTCAGTCCGAGGAAACTGTTCAGGAGGGGACCTGAACACTTCAAGCATTTGGTTCGTCAGATCGTACAAGTCCAGAATAAGTAGGCTGTAAGTGTATGTATGTCCAACAAAATGTACTTGAACTTGAACTTTATTGCTCATATGTTTATTGGTAAGCCGTAAAAACACAACGCAAAAACTTTTATATTGGCGTGCACCGAGGTCTGCTACAATTCATGTCAGGCGTTGAAAAGAAACTGAGTTCTAGGAACAGGCTCTCATTGATTTGAGATTATGAGGCGTCTTTTCGCATTCCGTCTTGCTTTAAAGTGTGCGTAGAAAAAGATTAAACATATACCTGATTGGTTTACTCATGTTTCAAATTTGACTTAAGTTTTGAAACAGACATACGAAACATTTCCTATACCTTTCTGGGACATATAAGTTTAACACGTTTGTTGGAACTGAATATTTCAGTATCTGTAAACCGTGCGTAAAAAGGCATGCCGCAATACGTTACCTTTACAACTGCGAAAATCTTTCGTAAAGATTAGATTTCTTTTTCAGTAGACTTTAATCGATCTTAAAGTCTGCTTAAATATTTCCTTGTCTTTTAAGTCTCAATACGGATGTCGTGATTTTTGCTTAAATATCTGTTTTCGTGCTGTGCAGAATAAGTAGGCTGTGATGGAAACGGTGGTTTCTGTAAGGGTTATTGTTTGCATGGCACTGCCATGATTTTATGATTTTGAAGAAGCCTTGTACCCTCCCCTCCCCTGAGTGTATAGTGAACAAGCCCCGGGGTCACAGGTTCTCCCAGGGGTTTCCAGGAATTTGGGCATGTCAACAAACAGAGCTGGGAGACATTCCTGTGGACATTCCATGCCTGTGGACAAGATGCCTGTACAATTCCTAGAATTCTTGCAAATTGCACACAATACTGTACCATTAGGCTCCTCCCTGAGACGTCGCCAAAAATGTATGTCCAACAAAATGTATGAACCTAAAGCTTTAAGTGTTTGGATCATTTTTTCACGAGAAGCTAAAATCGGCCCGCAGGCATTGAGAAAACACCTCTGAGACCCTTAAAAATCTAACAATTTTATGGCTGAAAATTACCGAAATTACAATGGATACCATGGCAATTCTGATAATGATATGAACATATGGATTTTCTTTTGTCACATAGCATAGTTCTCCTAGCTACTTTTATAAAACAAAAGTTGACGATGTAACATTGAAATTAAAAGGGTATACCAGGGGGTTCCCAGAACCAATGAAATCAGATTTGAGATCAATTTACAAAATTTATCATATTCTACCTCTTATGTCAATTAGTGTATACCTTTCAAAATAAATTGGGTGCATTAATTTTGTGCTAAATACTATAAAGGCTATGTGTGTGGGTTATCAGAACACCATGTGTGAAACTAGCTACATGCATGTAGATACAAGTACATCGTATGGACAATCTAGCAACAGGGCATAACAAAGGTTAAGAATATTAGGCGAATTCAACTAAAGGCCACTGAACAAAAATCACTCAGACCATTTAGGATCACTGTATCAGTCTTAAAACCAGGCAAAGACAGCTGTAGGTCTTTGAAATCCACTCATACTCAAAGAAAGGCTTTCTTTCCACTACCAGTGGCTCTCTGAACAATGAACAGTTTAGCATTTATATTTAGAAGAACGTCTTTTCAGTTTATACAATTTACTATTTACGAAATTATAATGGAATGGAAGGTGTTTTACTCATTCATTTAGAAAACATCTTAAATGAACTGAGCATATCGTAAATATGACAACAAGGTGATAATCAAAGGCTGTAAAATAATACAAGTATCAAAAGTATACATTCAATATAGTCTTCATAATTTTGATTGAGAATTTAAGTTTGTACGGTGTAAAAGTGCATTTTGGAGACGCTCCTGCAAGCATACGTAGCTATCGAGGCATCTCTTTTTGCACAACTTATCTTTTCAAAAATAAAACATAAAAATACAAATAGTCTGCGTCGGCTGGTTTGCGCTGAAATTATACTCTAACTGCTAATCATCAAAATCAAACTAAGTCAATCACTGATTAATTTCATACTTGTATACCTAATTCTTACATTTTAAAACATATCATACCATACGTCTGAGTTAATAATAATAACTGTAATCATGATATGATAGAAACTAATAGCCCCTGATTCAAGAAAAGGCGCTCATACACAAAAACAAGGTACAGGTTTAGCCGTTGTTAAAACCTGTATATATTAGTACAAATGCAGAAACTGTTTTTTTTTCTTTTCAAATTGCCTGCAAGGCCAATTTGATCGTCGATGGCCAGCTAATTTCTCTCGCCAGTTAATACCCCTTTAGGCTGATTTCCACGATTTGTTCAGCTTGCCTCTTTTGTTACCTTTCTCTTCTACAGAAAGGCGATTTTAGCGAGAAATATTCTACCTATTCAAGAGCTCCAATATCATAGCCTTTTTTCTATTCTTTAGTGAAAATAATATGAAGAAGATGTAACCGATAAAGAAACTTCCGGGGCGGACAATCTATAGTTGATACCTAACGTGTGTATCTTGTATGAAGCTAAGATACAGATTAGTAAAATAAGGACAATGTGGCCGTTATGGTTTGTAGACCATTATTTTGCCAATAACGTATAAAACAGCAGAAATTTTAAGTTGTACAACTTTAACCACAATGGCAATGACAATGTTTGCAACACAGGTATTACCACACGAATTAGTGCTGAAGCCAGTTAAGTTAGATATTTTGCAGGGTAGTTCAATTCATTACAATGTATGAAGCTTGTATGGAAGGAGGGCACCTTGCAATGTCTGTACAAAAGTTCCCATAGCTAGCTACATCAACCTACACCTACAGTAGTTCCAAGCCAACTGGTTACTTTGCCCTGGTTAGAATGTACATGATAGAGAAGGCATAAAAATGGTCAACACCAGTGAATACATCTTTGAAACTATACATGGCCACTAATAGATGAGGTCATTGTTAAGTCTTACTTTGCTTTGCTCTGGAATATATACACACAGTAATGATGACATTGAAAGTCTGTGCATCAGGATGAGCGATACGGAATCTGACCCGCGGAAGAGTGAATGACATGCGGAGTGGAGTAGACGCGATCTAGAGTCAGTCAATCAAGCCACAGACCCGCAGCAGGTTTTGGTGTGACTCTTCCCAGTACTTGGACTCTAAGAGCTTCTTCTTGTATTTTGCTGCTTTGTCGAATTCATGTTTAGAGTGTTTCAACGTGTCCACGATCTTCTTTGCCCATTCTTTTGCAGCTACATCTAGATCGGACTCCCTCACGCTGGTTTCTACAATCCTGTGCCTAATATCTGGATGGCACTTCTCCTCCTCGATCAAATCCATGATCATGTCTGCCAGGCCTGACTTGTCAGAGATGAGTACCGGGATGCCTGCTGCGATGGCCTCCAGACCAATAAGTCCAAACGGCTCGGCACGGGACGGCATCAGGACCAGGTGGGCCTGCTGCATGTCCCGAGCGATGTCCTCTTGGGTTCCACACGGCAGCAGAGTGGGTTTGATCTTACCACTGTGCAGGTTCTCCTCCAGGATACTCTTGCTCGCATCCCAGTCATCTTCATCTATCACGCGAACATGCAAACTGACGTTTGTGATCTTCTCTGCGACCTCCCCCATGGACCGTGCTATCAGGTCATGGCCTTTCAGCTTGTCCATTTCGGTCACTCTCCCGACAGACAGCGCTAGCACGACTTTCTCTCCTCCTCCTGGACTAACAGAGATGGCTTCGAACACTGGGGATGGTCTTGGGAGAAACAAAAAGTGCTGGCGTGGTTTGCTGTCTCCCAATGACTTGTACTTCGTCTCGAAGTAGTTGTAGATCCTTCTTCCCAAGGAGAACACGGCATCTGCATTTTTGGCATCCTCAAGGATGTCTTCCATCTTTGTCGCCTTCTTAGTTCCCTTGTAGTACTCCGTGTCTTCTGGCATGTCGTGGTTGAAAAGGATCAATTTTGCACGCTGACAACGGTCTTCTTGTATCCTCTTCGCAGCTTCACTTGTAACATCTACAAATCCCACTATGCACTTCAGATCCCGTGGTATGTCTGGGTAGTGAATAATGTGGTAGTAGGTCAACCATTCCAAAGAAGGCGTCCTCTTGTCCCTGGGGTCTTGAATAGGCAGATGCAAAATGACACCATCATCTTTGGCACACCTCTTGTCATCTTCTGATGCTTGCAGTGCCGTAGCATGAACTGTAGCACCATGCCGTTTCAGAAACTTTGCCACCTGACGGTTTGTTGTAGAGGGACCTCCATGGGAGGTACCGTACTCGCCGTTAACCAACAGAACAGACGTGAACTCTGCAAATGAGAAAACATTATCTTATGACTAACTTTGGTAACAAACAATAAAGTACATAATAATGAATGAAAGAGATTTTCATCGGTACAATCATATGTCCATATACATCTAGCCAAGTACGCAAGGTACTCACTTGTCCTCTGCACCTTTGTTGTTGGATCACTGCACTCTCCACCGCTGACAGTTACAGCACTGATGGTGTACTCAGTTCCTGCTGTTAACGTAGTGAAGGTGTGTTCCAGTGGGTCTCCAGTATTCACACTTACAGTGGGAGCGGTGGGACCAACATTCTTATAGATGCTGATCCTGTAGCTGTCTTTGGTTCCAGCTGCTTCCGTCCAGGTGATCCTGATGCTGTTTTCTGTCACTTCGGCAATGGTGATGGGGCCAGGTTTGGCTGCATCTGGAGAAATTCCATCATATTTCAGCACTATCTAAAACCAGAGTGGCACTGTCTGGCCCCAAAAAATAACCGAGCTGTAAAGAAAGTACAAACTTGGATACATCTATTCAAATTCAATACAGGGTAATGGTACTCACTTGTCCTCTGTGTCTTTGTTCTTGCCACACTGATCTCCCCACCACCGACAGTTACAACACTGATGTTGTACTCAGTTCCTGCTGTAAGACCAGTGAAGGTGTGTTCCGTTGGGTCTCCACTATTCACACTTGCACTATTACTAGGAGCAGTGGCACCATCAGTTGGAGAGATGCTGATCCTGTAGCTGTCTTTGGCACCATCTGCCTCTGTCCAGGTGATCCTGATGCTGTCTTCAGCCGCTTCAGCAATGGTGATGGTACTAGGCCGGGCTACAGCTGCAGATATTGGTATGATGGATAAAAACTGTCAATGCGTCTATAACATTCAGCGTCACCTAAAATTGAAGTTAGACTGCCTGATGTCAAAAGTATAGCCTAGCTATAAAATCCATACAAGACGATTAGCTCTCATCCATATAATTGCTGTAAGGGCATCCCAATAAACTGAAGCACACATCAATGCATCAAGACAAATATAGCGCAGGATACTCACCTGTCCTCTGTGTCTTTGTTCTTGCCACACTGTTCGCCCCACCACTGACAGTTACAACACTAATGGTGTACTTAGTTCCTGCTGTCAGACCAGTGTAGGTGTGTTCCAGTGGGTCTTCAGCGTTCACACTTACAGCAGAGTTGGGGACACCAGTGTCGGGACTGATGCTGATCCTGTAGCTGTTTTTGGCTCCATCCGCAGCTGTCCATGTGGCCCTGATGCTGCTTTCTGTCACTTCAGTAATGTTTATGGCACCGGGCTGGGCTACAGCTGCAGAAATTGAAATAATGGAAAAACTGTTAATGCTTCAATCACATTTCAGCATTATTCAAAACTAATTTAAAAGTGGTAATGCCTGACATCAAAACAATAATCAAACTTTGAAATGGCACATCGATGCATCTAACCAAGTACAACGCAGGGTACTTACTTGTCCTCTGTGTCTTTGTTCTTGCCACACTGCACTTCCCACTACTGATAGCCACAACACTGATGGTGTACTCAGTTCCTGCTGTCAGACCAGTAAAGGTGTGTTCCCGTGGTTTTCCAGGGTTCACACTTACAGCGGAGTTGGGGACACCAGTGTCGGGATTGATGCTGATCCTGTAGCTGTTTTTGGCTCCAGCCGCAGCTGTCCATGTGGCCCTGATGCTGTTTTCTGTTACTTCAGTAATGTTTATGGCACCGGGCTGGGCTAAAGCTGCAGATTTTGGAATGTTGTAAAAACTGTCATTATTCTAATCGCATTTCAGCATCATTCAAAACTCAAGTTAGATTATCTGGTATCAAAAGTATAGTCCATAGCACCTAGACAAATATAGCACGAGGTACTCACTTGTTCTCTGTGTCCTTGTTGACGGAGAACTCTTCCCCCCACCACTAACACTTACAACACGGATGGTGTACTCAGTTCCTGCTGTTAGACCAGTGAAGGTGTGTTCCAGTGAGTCTCCACTATTCACACTTGAACTACGAGCAGTGGAACCATCAGTAGGAGAGATGCTGATCCTGTAGCTGTCTTTGGCGCCAGCTGCACCTGTCCAGGTGATCCTTATGCTGTTTTCTGTCACTTTAGCAATGATGATTGGACCAGGCTGGGCTACAGCTGGAGATATTGGAATGATATAAAGATGTAAATGCATCAATCACATTTCAGCATCATCTAACACTCGAGTAGTACAGCAAAAAGTTGCAAACTTGTGACGTAAGGATAATGCACTTGTGAAAATTATTGATACATCTAGCCATTCAAGTACAACGCATGGTACTCACTTGTCCTCTGTTTCTTTGTTCTTGCCACACTGTTCGCCCCACCACTGACAGTTACAACACTAATGGTGTACTTAGTTCCTGCTGTCAGACCAGTAAAGGTGTGTTCCCGTGGTTTTCCAGCGCTCACACTTACAGCGGAGTTGGGGACACCAGTGTCGGGATTGATGCTGATCCTGTAGCTGTTTTTGGCTCCAGCCGCAGCTGTCCATGTGGTACTGATGCTGTTTTCTGTCACTTCAGTAAAGTTTATGGCACCGGGCTGGGCTACAGCTGCAGATATTGGAATGATAGAAAAACTTTTAATGCTTCAATCACATTTCAGCATTATTCAAAACTAATTTAAAAGTGGTAATGTCTGATATCAAAAGAATAATCAAGCTTTGAAATTATACATCGATGCATCTAACCAAGTACAACGCATTATACTCACTTGTCCTCTGCGCCTTTGTTCTTTGAGAACTGTTCACCCCACCACAGACAGTTACAACACTAATGGTGTACTCAGTTCCTGCTGTCAGACCAGTGAAGATGTGTTCCAGTGGGTCTCCAGCGCTCACACTTGCACTAGGACCGGTGACACCATCATTAGTAGAAATGCTGATCCTGTAGCTGTCTTTGGAGCCAGCTGCCTCTGTCCAGGTGGTCCTGATGCTGTTTTCTGTCGCCTCAGCAATGGTGATGGGACCAGGCCGGGCTACAGCTGGAGGCACCGGAACGAATTTCAGCATCAAGTAAAACTTATGTGAAAGGGTAAAAATCATACTGTGCGTTTAGTACAAAGGAGGGTACTCACTTGCCCCTCTGATTCTCACCCCGGTTCCGTTTTCTGTCACTTCAGCAATGGTGATGGCAGCAGGCTGGGCTACAGCTGGAGATATTGTATGAGATTAAAGTTATTAGGTTTGACGTTTCCCATTACCTACTGTCTACGCCAAGTGAGTTGTCATAGTGCTGAAAGAATACAATGTTTTCTACAGGGACATGCCTCCTAAACTGAAATCTTTTATAAAGGTATACGTGATTGGCTGCTTTGGGTCATTGGCTCTGAAGTCTGCAATCAGTTAAAATACGATTATTGCTATCAAACGGATGTATCCGAAACATTTCTTTCACAGCATGACTTCATCCATACCTTGCTTCGGTCGCTTTCTCATGGGGCCACTATCGCTGGACTCATCAGCATGCCGCTTTTTGGATTTCCTCTTTCCACCTGTAATCAATGTGAGGTAGTTAGGAAGTATAAGCTATGTGATTTTATGTTAGACTATCTCGGTTGGGTTAAGGCAGCCTATGGCATACTATGAGTAGTATTTCATACATATGCCTGTAACTTTTGATAGCTTGGTCGCACCACAACTAAACTTCACACAGTTCTAGTAGTACTTGAAACACATTGAATAAAGGTTATTTTGTTTTTACTACTTCTGGACTTTTCGGTTAAAAATCAACATTTTGGTTAAAAAACAGCTGTTCACTTCATGGCTTTACGCGCAAGCAGTAACAACACCATTCATCATGATATTTTACAAGTAGAAAGCCAACCCCCTATTTATTATTTTTGTCCGAGGCTATTTTGTTTAAATGGCTGGTATATTGTTTTTTTTTGGGCCCAAAACGACAGAAACAGCTATTTCTCTGTCATTTTTCGTTAAAAAAATCGCCACAGTTAAAAAATATCGACTTATATGCAAAATAGCCGGGTTTACAGGGGAAACATACAAATGACCGCCGGTAATTAACCCCGAATTCGAACACGAGTTCTATTCGACTGACGTCATATCGAACATGGTGGAACATGATTCGAATTCGAAGCAAGTTTGTGGCCATCGTGCAGACACACGCCCGAACTCAAACATGAATATCAGCCTAGGCCGCCTTAACCCAACCGAGATCATCATACACATTTGAAGACTCAAAGGCAAAGAAGCATTTGGGTCATGGTACAATTTTTTTTACCTTTCTTTGGTTGTTTCTGAGACGCTTTGCTCCTGTCATTCACAGCTTCATCCGCTTGTTTAACCTGAGTCGTCTCTGCAATGGACATACGACAAGACTTAGCTAAGAGTTTCATAAAATCCATATGTTGAAACCACCACCCCCAACCACAACATGGAACCGAACAGGAGATAAACTAAAGGAAACTATGGATAAATAAGTATGCCTAGTGGAATAAGGTATAGTGATTTTATTGCTTCGACTCTCGCTCTCTTGATTGAAATGTACATCTAAATTGATATGTACAAGCTATGTTGGATACCTGTAGGGTTGTTCATATCGGTATGATGTTGGACTGCTTCATGCGTTCGTGACAATGTCTCTGTGTGTGATTCTTGTTGTTCCGCTAAGCATTCCGCCATGGTTTCCTCGAATTCGTCTGGCTCCCCTGAAAAGAAAATTTGTACGGATGTATTACATGTTATATCATACCGCGATAACGTTCGATAACGGGTTCCTGTTGCATTCCAAAACGTGGTCCATTCCAAATCATGATTTGGAATAGAATGCACCTGCATTCCAAAACGTGGTCCATTCCAAAACATGATTTGGAATAACACGAAGTGGAATGCCTGTTGCATTCCAAAACGTGATGCATTCCAAAGCATGACTTTTCGTAATCACGTGTCTGGGGGCGGAGCCTCGTACTTAGGGGGCGGAGCTTCGAACTTCTGAGGGCGTGGCTAAATGATACGTGTCTGGGCATGTTTTGTAACGCTTAGCGTAAAGTTGAAATATTCCCATAAAACTAACCATCCTACAAGAAAAGTATTGATGTTTTTTTTCTTTCAGTGACAATATATTACGTGAAAATTTCCTTCGAGATCATTACACTCAATAAATTTACAATTTATCATTTGGTGTCTGAACATAGCCATAATCGCGTTGAAAAAAGGGGCGTCAAAACATAAGGCTGTCGTAACATAGGGCTGTCGTAACATAGGGCTGTCGTAACATAGGGCCGACCCCTTATAGCTACAGGCTGTCAGACGTGTAAACTTTAATGATGAAATGGGAGTCTCAAAATGTCACACGCGCGTTTTAGAATACCTGTGTCAACTATCTAAATCATGATTAACGTCAAATATTTCCCAAAGTTTCAAATTGGTAGCTTTTGCCCATGCTGTCGGCCTCTATATTTTGACCTTCTAAACCTCCTCGGTGTTAGTCACGGCATGCCCGTCGGACACCGCACACAACTATGCTTCGGCCGTGTACTGGCGGTAACCGGAGCATGGCTCACACGCAACTGTGGCGACCATCCCTTTCACAATCTAAAAATTCATCAACAAATGTTCAAACTCAACAACTCCACACAAACTGTTGTTGTCGAAGCCCTTTCCCAAGCCCACATGTCTGAAGCACGTTTTGGAATATTCCATTTCGTGTCTGAAACATGTTTCGGAATATTCCATAACGTGCCTAGAGAAAGGACATGAAATGGAATATTCCAAAACATGTCTGGAGCACGTTTCGGAATATTCCATATCGTGGCTAGATATCCCATATGGGCCGTGGAGACCACATTCTTACAAAATTAGGCTTATTTGCGTAATTTAATGACACAAAGTAATGCTAAATATTTACAAACTTCACTTAAATATCAAAAGTTTTAACTATAAATGAAAGCTCCTTGCTATAAATTACGTTCTCTCTTCTATGTATAAACAACTATCACGTGATTCTATTAGCGTGAAAATAATGAGAAACGGATGCGCGAGCGTCCGACCATTTAGGACCGCACACTGATGAAGATAAACTCAGACCAGAACCAGACTATGGAACATCATACCAAGAACATTATCGTACTGTTCATTGACGTCATTTTCCCCATACAGCTCGAACGTACTAATACCTTTGGCACGCTAAGTTCGACGACATGTTCAGACAAGTAAACACGACGTGATTTAACACAGTATCTGTATACAGGCAGCCAACGGACCAAATATGGAAACTTCGGAATGAATAATTAATCACCACTCCTGTCAATCATTTGTGATTGACAGCATGGCCGGTCACGTTTTAGAACATTCCAAATCGTGATCCAGCTGCGCCATATGATTTGGAATACAACATGTTGAATGCCTGCTGCATTCCAAAACGTGGTCCATTCCAAATCATGATTTGGAATAACACGTTTTGGAATGCAACAGTTCCGGACCGGGCTCCATGGCTTCCATAGAATTGATTCGAACGCGTTTCGCCCTAACCGCGTGCGCCGCTTTCGAACATTCGAATACAGAATCCGAACGTTGGAACTGGTGTTGTTGCATTTGAGGGTTTTTTGCTCATCGTGCATTGAAAGGCGTGTTTTCTTGGGTGAGTATGGCATAAATAAAATACAACACGGTGTATTCCACATTGCCCTCGGTATCGGGCCTCGTGCGATACGGAATACCCCGTGTTGTATTTTACAATTACAGCGGAGGCCAGTTTGACAATTTCATTTTCAACAGACTTACGAGGTAATATGTTCAGTTCTACGCTATTGTTGATTTTCTAAATACAGTTTTTAAGAACACGTAAATATCTCAAAAATGATGATATACATAATTGCATGTAGACCCAATCACTGTAGTGTGATATCGATTTTTTAACAGATGATAGATGATAGAATGATGTGTTGAATTAAGTATTTCAAAGCTAAGATTAAGATAGTTAAGTTTTGGGCCTTATAGCTTACCCGACTTTCCCGAATCTTCATGATGTCCGGTGAACCCACTGTTCCTAGCTGCCGTGTCGTCTGTGGGCAGGCTACTCTTACCACCGCCCTTACTCGAACGGTAGTTGCCGATAAAATTCTGAATCAGCATTACAGATAACATTACTGATAGATAGAATTGTATCACAATTGATTTTTATCATATATGGTTTGATTAGGCAAATGCCCTTGCATATGCAATATGAAATAACGTCTTCGCACAGGTTACATCAATAATTTGGACTAAATCTTCTCACTTTTTACATCACTAAACATTTTTGTCCTGCTTATACTAAGCTACTGATTATCATCAAAAAGACAACGCACCTTCACTTGGTCTACAGTTTTCCCGCTCTCTTTCGCTGCTTCTTGTATCAAAGGACAATCGTTCTTCGCCTTGGTCATTCCTCTTTCTTCATAGAACCGGACAAGTACAGGATCGTATCCCTTCTTACGTTTGGAGACTCCCTGCAAACACGTACACATGAAAGTGAGTTTTTCTTGAGAGAGGATAAAACAAAGCCATTCCATCAAGCACACTTGAAGATATTGTAGGCGGCTGAAATTTGAGCTATGCAATAACAAACGTACACGTCTCAGATAGGTCACATGCCTATTTCTGAATCACCTATAATAACCAGAAGTGGGTCATGCAAACTGCTTTTGTAGCTGAATGTTTATACGCAATATTGACCATAGTTGCAATAAATCTCTCTCCAGCCTGACAACACTCAACAGGAAGGAAAAATCAGAGGATTTGAAATGTTAGCATCTGAACTACAAACAGAAGGATCAACTTTTTACCATCTTCAAATGGTAGTTTGTTATTTGTATGTTCTTTAGAGATCCCTTATTTTGTATCGTATATTAAGTTTTATAGCGACTCACATTATTTTGTTCTTGAAGAAGCCTCAGTATTTCTTTTCTACCATTAATGACTCGTTCTTTCTCTTCTTTGGTGTTTGCAGTTATACAGCCCCTGGTGTCCTCATCTGCTGCGATATCCTTTGCCGTTCGACCTTTCTGTAAATTAACATGTGCAGACAACACACTGTCAATTTGGGCTAAAGAATGTTGGAAAAACGAAGCCAAGCATGTCTTGATGCCTCCTCCAATCAATGGTGATGGAACATCTACATAATCCCCTATTTAGTAGGTGCAACAGGGCCCGAACACGAATATCAGCATATGCCAATTTGGCTTTTTATTCCTCCAACTTGCAGTTTTCCCCTTGCCCCAGACTGCTGCTTCCAAGTAGTTTGCACAATGGTAAAAACAGAAATATATGCATATAAAGTAGATCGTTATCAAAAAAAGTTTACTTTTTTTTTTTCAAAAAAAGTACTTCGTTTTTTGACCTTGTTTTTTTTTTTTTTCAAAAAAAAAGTAGTTCAATTTGTTATGTTGTTGGATTGTTGAAGAATTGACTGACCTTGTTCCTGATGCCGGTATCAGCCCAGTGCTGCAGCAGTATTTCCGCGCACTTTGGGTGGCCCCGTCTAGCTGCACCATGGAGGGGGGTGTTTCTCTGTTTGGGCATTGGCAGGCATGAAACAGTGTAATTTTTTATCCTTAATATTGTCAAACAGCAACCACTATACATGTCTAACTTACACTGCTCACTCGCTGCGAGATTACTAGGATCCATTACCTAACCTTTCCTCTCCAAATCGTACCAGTCAATCTGTATCTTACCAATACTGAATTCCTTTTTTATAGTGAATGCTAAGGGTAGTACAAAAATTTGAAAATAGAAATTCAACCGAATTGTACATTATGACACAAGAATATACATTCTATTACAATCAACACCTACCCACTTGTCCAGTGCGTTCACATCTGCACCAGCGTTCAGTAAAGCTGACACAGTTTCATGGTTGTCAGTCAGAGCTGCCCGGTGCAGAGGAGAACTTTGCTAAAAACACATTAGATAGTCTTCAGTATGACAACAGGACAGACAAAAGTGCACTCATGTTGCTGAAATGTTAAACGGTAGTAAGCAAATAAACCCATATGCAGAAAATGGATGTCAAAACTTACAAGTTGTCATTGTATCACAACAGTCAGTCTACCTACACAATTGTCCCGTGCGTTCACATCTGCATTAGCTATCAGTAAAGCTGATACAGTATCACGGTCGCCATTCTCGGATGCCAGGTGCAGGGGGGAATGTTGCTGTAGGACAAGCACATCAGCTGGTCTTTAGTATGTAAATAGGATTGACAAAGGTGTACTTACATGTACATTGTATGTTACAGTTAGTAGTCAGCACATATACCCTATGTAGTTGATGAATGTCACATCTTACATCTTGCAGAAACATTTCTTGAATGTAGTGTACTTACTTTCTTATTCTTTGCGTTCACATCTGCACCAGCTTTTAGCAAAGCTGGTACGGTTTCATGGTTGCCATTCTCGGCTGCCCAGTGCAGGGGAGAACTTTGCTGTAAAACACATCGAATGATCTTCAGTATGACAACAGTACGGACAAAAGTTCACTTCACGGTTGGTATCAGTTTAAGCAGTAGTCAACTCCATGTAAATGTCAAATTGTACAAGATATTAGTAAATATTTCTTGTATCACGGTAGTCAATCTACCTACCCTCTTGTCCTGTGCGTTCACATCTGCACCAGCTGTCACCAAAGCTGATACAGTTTCATGGTGGCTATTTGCAGCCGCCCAGTGAAGAGGAGTTCTTTGCTGTAAAGAACATCAGATGACCTTTAGTATCACAACAAGAAAGACAAAATTCCGCTAATGTTGGTAAACTTTAAATGGTATTCAGTAAATAAACCGCTATGCAGCTAAAAACCTTTCAAAATGGAAAAGGAAGAGTCCTGGAATCAGAAGAGTCAATCTACTTACCTCATCGTCCCGTGTCATCGCATCTGCACCAGCTTTCAGTAAAACTGACACAGTTTCATGGTAGCCATTCTCGGCTACGGCTGCCCGGTGCAGAGGAGTTATTTGCTGTAAAAGAAATGAAATGGTCTTCAGTACCTTTCCCATATGGTCTAGTGGTTAGGATTTGGCGCTCTCACCGCCAAGGACGGGTTCGATTCCGGGTATAAGAAACAGGAAGAGCGAGTAGAAACAGATAAAAATCCAGGTCCCGGGCCGGGGTTCGAACCCACGACATCCCGCGGGCACCACATGCCGACGCTCTAACCACTCGGCCGAAAAGGTCTAGACCCATCGGCCGGGTCAGTTGGTAGCGCCTGTAAACACCCCACTGTTACAATGACAGCAGAACAAAGGCGCACTATGCCGGTAACAGTTTATATGGTGGTCAAATAAACTGCTATGTAGAAGATGAATGTCAAATCTTACAGAAATATTTCTTGTATCTCAGCCAGTCTACCTACTTTCTTGTCTCTTGTGTTAACATCTGCACCAGCTGTCAGTAAGGCTGACACAGTTTCATGGTGGCCATTCCGGGCTGCTAGGTACAGGGCAGTCCGTTGCTGTAAAACACATTAGATGGTTTAAGGACTGGCTGAAGAAAACTCATGTTGTTTCGTAGTAGACAAGATCTGGTGAATCTATTAAATGTTTTGGTTTGTGAAATGTTAGAGATATATCAAAGATAAACAGTGGTACAGCAAATCCCCATATTGTATGGGAAGCTGCAAAATGTTTTTTCCCGGGACATTGTGTAAAGTTTTCGAGTTATAAGAAAAAAACAATATCTCTCCAGAGAAAGAGAATTAACTGATAATATTAACCTTTTACAAAGTCAAATGGATAACATTCAGTCTCCCCCAGATTCCATTCTTGATGATTTTGACAACAAACAAAAACAACTAGAGTTATTGTATAATCATCGTTTACAAGGAATCTTAGTTGGATCCAACGCTCGATGGATGGAATTTGGGGAAGGAGTTCTAAATACTTCTTAAAAACGGTTCATAGAAATTATACCCGGAAAAAACATTCAAAAATTAAAGATATCAGATGAAACTTTTACCTCTGATCCTCAGGAAATTTTAGAAAAACAAGTTGATTAGAACTGTTGGCCATAAGATACGCAGTAATCAAAACTTGACTGGTTTATCTGTTCATGGAAGGCGCATTAAAATTTCTTAATATGCTGATGATACCAATTTCCCCTTTGCCCCCAAATTAGCATCTTTTATATATATTATATATATATGCATTTAATGCCCTTATTGATGATTTACAAAGTTTTCCCATCTTTCGGGTCTGTCTTTAAATTTTGACAAGTGTAAGATACTCAAAATTGGTCCTTTAAAAACACGAATTTTAAACTACCTTCCCATCTACCTATTCAATGGGTAGATGGGGAGGTAGACCTTTTAAGCATACATATACCTAAGGAATTGGACTCCATTATCAACTGCAATTTTGAACCCCGTTTAGCAAAATTATATAGATTATTATTCCCCTGGAAAGGAAAAAGTTTATCTTTGTTTGGAAAAATTACTATCATAAATTGTTTGATTGTTTCCCAGTTTACTCATCTTTTCCAGGTGCTCCCCTCCCCAAGTAAATCCTTTTTTAAAATCTATGAGAGACAAATATTTTCCTTTATTTGGAATGGGGGTCCAGAAAGGGTCAGTAGGAAAACAATTTATAACTCAATTGAAAATGGTGGTTTGAATTTGATTAATTTATATGCCTTTTCCCTCACCATGGATGCCAAAATTATACTTTAATCCTGATTGGTTTACCTCCTGGTCTTTAAGTACATATCTTTCTGTTGGATATGCATTATTTCCTTTTCTCCAGTTGGATAGCTTACAGTATCTGAAACTAAATTCTTTCTTATATGATATTGTATATGCTTGGTATAAATATCAACAGAAGGGCCCCACAACTCCGGCTGAGATTAGACAACAGCTTTTATTTATGAATTCTAATATCCTTATTGGTGAAAAACCTTTCTTTTCAAATGCTTTAAGAATTCTGTTTGTAAATGATGTTTTAAATTTAGATGGTTCCCTCATATCATATGATGAATTTCGAATTAAATATAATAATGCTTGTAGCCACATGCAGTATTTGCAGCTATATACTGCAATCCTCCCAAAATGGAAATCTACTTTGCTTGGTTCTTCATCCCTTTCAATTTGCATTCCAGCTCAATGTGATAATACCTGGCTTAGCAAAATTAAGATTAACTAGAAAGGCCGACATTTGCTTGGGAGCAAATACAGCATATTTCAGTCCATCTCCCTCCCACGCAAAAGTGGACTATTCCAAACTTACCCCAGTGCAAAACTGGCAAAGGTTCTCAAATAAATGAATTAGATACAGTAGTAGGTAATTGAGAACAAAGATGCAAGAACAAGTACTTTGAATCTCGAAAGCTTTACTAATCTTATTACAGGCATGCAAATACTAACAATGATGAGATTTGATACATTTTGAAGGTCTTAGGCACATAAGATTGAATGTGTGGGTCATTACGCATGACTTAGGTGCAATGTGACCTCAGGTAACCTGCAATGGAACACGTGTTCCATGGCCAATGGCAGATGGAACGGGCCATTCTTTAGATAGAACATGGAACGGGTACAACACTTTTGGCCCTTTTTTTGCTGAAAATAGCCATGAAAGTCCCCCAAATGAGTCATTTGGAAGTGGTGTATGCCCAATACGTGACTGCTATTCTGTAGACCCATGTTCAAGGTACCCTTATACCGAATGTCATATCATTTGGTTGTAATACCAGGGCTCAGGATCCAAAAATCAATTTTTCGTTGAAAAATGCCCCAAAAAACCTTCATAAAATTTCTTCAAAGGCATGTTTTTAAAAAAATGAAAAAAAACATCTGGGGTATTTGCCACTCTACCCCCATGCCAAATTTCAGGTCATTTGGCTGAATGATGGCGGAGTTGAATCCCTCTGAACGAGTGGCAGGAGGAGAAGGAGAAACATGAGGGAACACAATATATTTCATCCATACCATGGTATGGACTGAAATATAATATAACTAGTAAGGCCAATATTTGCTTTGGAGCAAATACAGCGATGGGTTCACCACATTTTACGACATGGCAGGGAAAGAATGGGAAACACAAGGGAAAACAATGACTTACATTGATATAACTATAATATGAAGTAAAATACAACTAAAACAACAGTTGGATAGCTATTCCCTACTTTATTGGTTAGGATTTTTAATTGCATAATGCAAACTGTTGATTTTCAAAATAAAAAAAAACGTACCATGCCCGGCATTCCAATGCTGGAGCAGGAAAGCTTGAAATACCTACCAAAACACTTGAATACAGACATACTGTCAGTATGGAAATGCTTCTGTGCAGGTGGAAATGGTCTGTGCAGGTGTTAATCAAGTTAAATCCCAACAGCCAATCAGCAAGAAGTATAGAGGAAAGCTGCATGCCTATTGGTTGATGCCCTGCATTCCATTGTCATGACTCATGCCCAAACGTGGTAAACAAGGCACACTAATACAGTAATACATTTGCTATAACACAGCCAAAAAACTCAAATAAAACCATTCTAAAAGCCTGTATCACAATAATTTAAAAAACGCCTAGGGGTATTTGCCCACTGTACCTCCATACCAAATTTCAGGACCTTGGGCCCTAAAATGAAGAAGCTGAATCCATTTAAAAAATGGCAGGAGAAGAAGGAGGAGAAGGAGAAGGAGAAGAAACATCAGAAAAAGCAATATGGTTTCACCACACCACTTCGTGGTGTGGTGAACCCATAATAAAAGTATGTATAAGTTCTTTTTAAGGTCCTATAATTTAATAGATTGTTTGCATAATGTTCAGATGTCATGGCTGTACCTCTTTGACACCCCAATGCCCTGGAGACTAGTCTACACTTCTCTTATACATTGTACCATTGATCCGACAACAAGGTTTTTTCAATATAAAATTGCTCAAAATTTTTACCAATAAATAGGTTATTGTATATCCGGAAATGTATAGACAGTCCTTTATGTTCATTTTGCCATGAGGAAGAAGAAACCTACCTGCATGTCTTTTGGGAGTGTCCGCATTTAGTTTCTTTCTGGGATAAAATTGAAATATGCTTCCATCAACAAACTGGACAAAGACTACAGCTTAATTCTTTTAATGTCATTTTTTGTAACTTAAATTCAGAAGCCCCTGTTATAGGTAATCTTGTGATTTTATTAGCTAAAAGATGCATTTATAAAACAGAAAGGCCAACCATGTTACTTTTCAATCTTTTCTTAATTATGTAAACTTTTTTCATGCAGTAGAATATTATATTGCTGCAAGAAGGGAAATCTGCAGAAGCATCGTGGCAAATGGGGTACTTTATTATATGAGTGTTTTTATTTCATTATCAATGTTATGATTTAAATTATAAATAATTATTATGATCAGTGATTTTTTTATTATGATTATTATTGTTATTATTATGCTTATTATTATGATCAGTTATGAGTCGAATTATGAATAATTATTATGATCAGTTATTACTATGATTATGAGTATTATTGGTACTATTATGATTATTTTTATAAATATGATCATTATTTGTATTGTGTAAGGGATGGTTCACTACAAGACGGGTGCAGGTAAAATCGGCTAGGTTGATGTTTAATGACGGAAAAAAATACGATGCTGCAGCAAATAGTCACCACCCGAATGAGTTGATCAAAGATTGCATACATATATATTAAATAGCCAACTTAATTTTGCATTTCTCTAAGACCTAATAGAAAATGTGATATCCGCGCGCGTGCACCCGGTCCCCCCTCCGCATTATGTCACACTTCACCACTATATATGAACAATATTGCAAGACATGCTAACAAACCCAACGGCCAGTAGCATTAGGGTTGACTCCCTCCGCTAACAGCTGCTTCACTCTGCCCGTGTCTCCTTCCTCTGCAGCTCTCACCAGCTCCTATAGCGGCGGTAGACGTCACAGGAACAGGACAAACAAATGTCAACACTTACATCATCATTAAACTAAACACTTGGCCAAATGTAAAGGATTGAATGGATGAGAAAACACACCCATAGATAACAATAAGCATTTTGGTTTGATTGAAAACATGAGTTCCACGATCTCATACCTTCGCAAAATGATGTTAACCCTTCTGTTTGACGAATTGTACAATATTAATCATTGATTTCGCAAATAAGAGCCTCATTTGCATGGATTACATCAGTTGATCATATTCTCCACCCAACGACAGCCTTATCTTAACAAAAAAGGCTACTCTAGCACTTCTTCATAAAGTATGCAAATGAGGCCATAATTTGAATAAATTATCTTTACTGATGTTCACCTTCACTTGATTTCCAAATGTGGTAAGTAGTTATAACAATTTCCCATTAATTATGCAATTAAGTCCTCAATTACATAATCTATATCCTCAGATAATTTTCTCGTTCTCAATTACATGTCACAAGTGTTTCATAGTCCTATTATCGAACGAAGCAGATTTATAGAATTTTCCTCATTAATTATGCAAATTAGCTCCTGATTTGCATAATTGTCATCTGATTATGTCAAGCATCACTTCAGCTACCTACATACAAAAAAACTACAATCCGTCACCCAGTTCTTGAGTTATCCTTCTTCGAGGATTTTTAAACTAACGCTCCTGCAGTTCCAGAACAAGCTGCTAGGCCAGTAGGGGGCCTATGTCTTTTCTTCCCTACCCCAACCAAAATTCATGACCCTAGCATGTCCAGATCGCAAGATATCAAAACCAGAAGTTCTGCTGCAGTACCAACAAAAGCCGCCAGGGGGCCCAAAATCTAATCATTTCTAGGTCTTAATAAGACCTACCCACCTACCAAGTTTCATGACAATGCATATTTAGCTTCTTGAGTTATGCTGTTCACAGACAGACAGACGGACAAACAAACGGACAGACGGACAAACGCAACTGAAAACATAACCTTCTTGGCGAAGGTAACAACGCATATTCAAGCCTGTCTTTTCAGTATAACTGAGAAGAATGATACTCTTTATTTCTCAAGAGATTCAAAATGTAATGTCACCATGAAAAGAAGGTTTGCAATGTAGATACTGTAACTCAGGGTTTATCAAAGATAACCAATAATTAGACATCAGGCATATGTGCATATATATATAAAGATTCTTAAACGCATCTTGAAGAAATTTATTCATGAAACGCAATAGTCTATCCAGATTCTGATTCGTGCCTTCCTGCCATTTCTCAAAGCATAGAATCATAACAAGAACATTTATATAATAAGAAGACGTCTATCCTACCGCCTCTTCCTCCCGTTTTGTCCCGTCCATAGCTGACCGTGCTACATACAGAACCTGCCCGGTGACACCTGATGCAGTAAGACCTGCTAGATTCCTTTCCTGTGTCGCAGAAACACATCGTGACAGACGTTAAGAACCTTCATGTTGAAAGCAATGGAACCACCTTATTGTTGCCTATTAACTACAACCATCGCGTGAAACTTTCACCAGGACATGCCTTATTTACAGGTCTAAAACGTGCCGAAGGAGCGAAAATATCGTGATTTTGAATACCATCAAAGCCATCGAAACATATCGTCGATACTTACTAGTCCATTCAGCAGCAACAGTCTAGCTGTATGCTGGAGAAATACGCTTAAATTTCTAAGTGTTCGTCCTTCATACCCTCCTACTCTTGTCAAGGGCATCTCTATACACACCTGTAACTTCCGGGTTTACCTTGAACTTTTCCAGACGTGTCTTGGGACAGCTTGACGACCTTTTCCTGGTCTTTAAGACCTCTGCAAGGTTCTCAAACTTCTTAGTAACCGAAAACTGTTGGTTTTGACGTCTCAATACGCACAGGCGTGGTCCCACGGCGTCTTAAAGAACGAGCATGTCCATTGCGCCCGCAGGTGAGAAGACAGATCTTAGTTTCGGTAGGTCTCCCATGATTCATAGCGCGCGCGATGACGTACTCCGTCTTGACGAGGTGAATGACCTCAGCACGATGTGCCGGGATATTGGCTGTGGTTAGTGTGGGACGTGCACATTGTTAACCATATATAGCGTGTATATCTTAGATGATTGTCAACCTTATATAGTGTGTATATCACAGATTGTTGTTAAATATATAGCGTGTATATCAAGGGGTTTAAGCAGCATTTTCTTTCTTCTTTAACGTTAAAATGCTCGAGCGTCCTTGTTTTCTGACACATCTAGCTACAGCTATGGGATTTCTCCGCCGAAACACCCTACATACATGTGTGTCCGGCCACCGTGGTTGTCTACCACCTTGCGAGGCATAGTAGAACTGCGCGCAATGCATAATGCAAAATACTCAGTACCATAGGACTTTCTTAAACCCATCCTTTTCTTTCTTGTTCCTTCTTTGGCTACGTAATATCTAATTTGTATCACACAAAGGTGCAGAGAAAGGTAGGAAACTTGTGAAATAAGCCAGCTAGAACTGATAGACGAGAAATCTATGATAAACACTTGTACCTGTAACCCCCTATACACCAATGGACTGTTCAAAGTGACGTCAGGACACCAGTACCGAGATCGGTTACTAGTATTCCTTCCTACGCTATTTTTGGCTCAAGGAGTCTTAATAGCCAAGTTACTAACAAGACGCAGTGCCAGGTGGATACACGCCCAAGTAACGGTGCCAACTTGACTGTCTTCCGTCTTGGCAGTCCTTGAGTCAAGCAGCAGAGTCTTAAAGTCGCTGCTGGGATCTAAGGAGCGGGAGAAGTGCGAAAAACCGGGTCTGTTTAGAAGAGAAGTTTTCCAGGCCTGTGCGATCAGAAAGCTGAGTTTGCTGCAGATTTTTGTTACCAAACTCTTGAGCTAGTAGTATTGTAAACACAAGAAGTTCCACTACCTCATACCTTCGCCAAATGATGTTAACCCTTCAGGTTGAAGAATCATACAATTTTAATCATTGATTTCGCAAATAAAAGCCTCATTTGCATGGACTGTATCAGTTGATCATATTCTCCACCCAATGACAGCTTTATCTGAACAAAAAGGCTATTCTGGTACTTCCTCAAAAATTATACAAATGAGGTTATGATTTGAATATATTATGTTTATTGCTGTTCATCTTCACTTGACTTTCAAATGCAGGAAGTATGAAATTCACAGCTGTTACAACTATGAAATTATAATTTTCTTCATTTACATAATCTATATCCTCAGATAATTTTCTCGTTCTCAAATGTCACAAGTGTTTCATAGTCCTCTTATCGAACGAAGCAAATTTATAGAATTTCCTCATTAATTATGCAAATTAGGTCCTGATTTGCATAATTGTCATCTGATTATGTCAAACATCACTTCACTTACCTACATACCAAAAATCATAACAATCCGCCAACCGGTTCTTGTGTTATCCTCCTTCGGAGAATTTTCAACAAACACTCCTGCAGTTTCAGAACAAACCGCTAGGGGGCCCAAACTCATGTCACTTTTTCTTAGCTCAAGAGCTATCTACCATCCAAAATTTGTGACACCAGTATGTCCAGATCATATCATGAGATGTCAAAACCAGAAGTTCTGCTGCAGTACCAACAAAAGCCGCCAGGGGGCCCAAAATCTAATCATTACTAAGTCTTATCAAGACCTACCCACCTACTAAGTTTCAGGACAATGCATAGTAAGCTTCTTGGGTTATGCTGCTCACAGACAGACAAACAAACAGACGGACAAAGTCGTTATCCTCTCTGCATTTGAGGATAGACTCACGAGTTAGGATAGGTCTGGTAGCCAGGTTATCGCTTCGGGCGATCTAGTCATATTTTTGACACATCAAAGTGTCGGAATCACTTTGATACCTTGTGACACTGTTTTTGCTCGCATACGTGTATATGATGCATGTGAGGGGATGAACGGTCTGAGACATAAGAAAATCTAACAACGAGGCTCAATCTTATGGACGCCTGTTGTCTTTTTCTGTAAATTTGACTTTGGACATGCTTTTTTGATATACGTTTTGTAGCCCACGTTGCAAACATCTGTGTAATTCATATGACAACAAGGCTGAATATAAAAACAAGGATGTGAGATGGAATCTTGATGTTTTCAAATCCGGAGACACCGTGCATGAAACAGAACTAGCCTCTACCAGGCTTCGGGAGGCGGATAAAGCGCAGAAATTGTCCAATAGAGAGATAGCATGTCAGGGGAGTCGGTCTGCTAGAGAGTACAGTGCGGCAAACTGTACTATGTCTCTAGCGGACGACCTCCCCTGGTATGCTATCTCTATATTTTGCCAATTTCTACTATTTCTAGTACCCTCCTCCCGAAGCCTGGTAGAGGCTACAACAGAACCCTCAACGTACACGGTGCCACGTAGCCTTATATTACCTAAATGGATGATGGGATAAGTGTTTAAACAGACCAATAGGAAGAGTCCTGGCAATCACGTGATGAAGATTAGAAACTGAATCACTCGGATACTGTGTTGGCTACTCTTGTTATACGGACGGTGGGAGACTCAGAGTGAAGGGAAACGGACAGTTGGTTAATTGGATCAAACGAGTAATCGGCTGAACTGTGCCCTACTTGTCGGCATTTTACAAGGTACGCACTAGCCGGTAAGAAATGATGTAATTCATGTGCATACGTAAATGATGTTGTTAATTCTCTTTATATGTAACGACGGCTTTAATTTTAGGAGAATTACATGATGTGTTAGACTTTCAATGCACCAGTACGTTGTAATGTCAAGCATTCACACATACATCAAAGCGTTATTTTCAAACAGAACTTATTTCAGGCTATCTGGTTGCAGGTAGTTGCTTGATCTAGCGCTTTAATGTCATGAGATTATTTTGGTCTCTGACGATGTCATTTATGTTATGAGATTGTTGCTTCTCCTGTTTCAATGTCGAAACTTAGAGTGGTTAAATGATGACTCTCACGACGTAAAATGTTTTCCT